ACCGTTCCCCGGGCCCAAGATCCAGGAGCATACCACGAGCGCCGCACTAGTTTTCCTTGACGTCTCAATTTGCAGGGAGTTGCGTTGAACAGAGCCAAACTCCTCCCACCCTGACGTTCTGTGTTGGCTCACGTGAGTTTATGGCCATCATGGGCAGGAAGTCTTCTTTGTGATTTCATTAAGCGTGTTTCCTGCATTACTTCTCGGGACTTTTTCCAGATGTGGTTGCCATGTCCAAAAGCACACGCTGCAAGTCGCCCGTTGAGAGGGCATCATTCAACTCGTCCAGTTTGCTCAGCATTATATCTCCGCCCTAATACCGCGTCCTTCATTAAAACAGGGCAGATACTTCTGTTCCAGGACGACACTTCGGCTCGACAGTCATTGGGTACCGTCTATTGTCGTTGGTCGAGCCAAAAAACTGAGTTGGGTCAAATTGTAGAAGAAGAACAATCAACGATTCAAGGCGATGATTAGCATTCTAACACTCAACGTATTGACTTGAAAAGGATCGACATTGCCTCCGAACACTCAACACGGAATAGCCATATAGCCATGTTACAACGATGATATCCATAACGTCCATAAATATGCAACACGAAAACCGTGGCGGGGTCTTATCTGCAGCAAAAGCACTTCTAGGTGACATGTCACATCACCAGAAAATGTTGTCGCGAACTCTAATACCATCACGGAAAAAGCCTCATATAAAAGCTCACTTGGGCTTTGGAGGAGGCTTTGTAGGCGGCAATTATTTCAAGTTCAGCTTAACCAGCTGCGCGGGATAAGGATATTCGAGCTTTCCTCATTCGATGCCACATGTCAGGAATAAGTGGTGGCGCGAAGCAAGGAGCTACACAACATTATCCGTATGCAGGAGGAAGCTGCAGAGTTACAAGAGCCTGCAGTCATGAGATCAAAACTTCACATGCAGGCGGCAAATGCAATGAAATCAAGGCTTCTCAAGCTTCAATTTTGGATAAGATCTCTCTTGCGCCATTGTCGATCTTAGCTCGTGGACAGCTACTATTCTTACTATACCCCACCACCATCATGCATCCTCAGTCGACGCAGACAGCCCTTTCCAGCCTGCAACGGCTCCCCCCTTGGATAACTCGTCGTTCAGTGAAACCGTCCAGATGTGCGCAAGCGGTGGAGACAGCAACGTCCTCATGTGCTCGCAGGACACTGCTGGGGTTGGCTGCCGCATCGGGCGACCTGCAGCATGCATCACGCTATGGGGTTGGCGGCACAGTCGTCGTTAGGCATCGCGACAGCGCACCAGTGTGTGTTGCCTATGTCTGTCTGTCCCTTCCCGCATGTCAAGTGACTTTTATTTTCTGACGTAGCTACAGGTAGAGTTCTGTATCCTCCAGAACTGATTTGCCATGTGAAGTGCGGGTTCCTAGCTGCGCAAGCTCGGGGTGTAAACTGCCTCCAAAGAGGAAGCAAAACCCTCCCAATCTCCCCTCAATCCGGACCGCAACAACGCCAGGAACGGCCCGTCCGTTGGGTTGGGCTAAGCTGCCCCCCTTGATCGCGGGCTGGTTAGCCCAAACTTTGCTTTTCAATAGTCGAGCCAGGCGTCCATTCTGCGAGGCGGGATCGGGATGCGCCTTACAGCCCAACGAGACATACTTTAATAGCTTTGTTGGGTTTCCGCCATTTCCAGATCCAGCCACGCGGGTAAGGAAATAGATGAAGGCTAGACACGACGTTGAGATTTTATGGTGCATCGAAGAGTGTAGATGCGGCGGGACAAGCGCATTTGGCGTGTGTCACGGCAGATTGGAGAAATTGTGCCTGTAACACAACGGTGACTTGAGCTGTGGCTTGCAGTCCTCCAGCAGATTGCGAGTGGCTCCCTGATGCTCGAGGAGGAGAAGCATGGTTATCCAAATGGCACGCAGTAGAGATAGTTACTGCACCTATTTCTAAGTTTGGTTCTTATTTCGGATATTTACTCCGATAGATGTGGAGGATTCCACCATCTTATGAAGGCGGCCATGAGCACGGAGGCTTACTTCTTGGCCGACTATACTGGTGAGCTATATTGGCAGTTGGTTGTATCGCTGTAATGATCAATTTACGATCAAAACATAGCAAGCTAAGAAAAAAACTCAATTATTAAACTAAAAAAGAAATTCTACATCACCTCGCTTTCGCCTCAGACCTGAATGGTTGAATCGCCGCTATCGCAATCATCATTCTTGCTGTATTTCGCTGTGGTGATATTGCTGAGATGTTTGTAGTTGATAAGAGCCTCTCCCCCCATTGAGGCCAGGATAATATCGATGACCGAGTGCTCTGCCGAAAATGACTACAATGTTGCTGGAGGTCGCCTATAGCGCCATGAAGATAGTGAACGCGTCGAATAAGGTCTCAGACGTGTGCTAACTGATGCATTCTCGAAAGGAGATGGAGTTCTTGAAAAGCGTCCGGCATCTGACCGTGTCGGTTGCTCGGTAAAGTGGATAGACTCAGATATCATTGCAGCTTCTCGATATTGCATAGCGAGTCGTCCTATGGAAGCCTGTGAGCCGCGCTATCCTACTTGATGAGATGCTTAAAGAATTTCTTTATCCCGGGCTCCTGACAGGAAAGATCCATGACAAGTTCGAGGCATTCTTTCAGAGAGCGCCCTGAAGGATCAACATGCTCGAAAGACTCGTGGCACTATCTAGCAGGCGTCTATATACAGCCACTCAGGGCCATGGCGAGTTCTGTATCGTTGTCATCACCAACCAAATATAACCATCTGGACAGAGCATATCCCGTCGTGCGGCCCATCGGCCTTTGACACGCACAAAGTAAGAAGCGGCAGGTGTTCGCGGCCGTTTGAGGTTTGAGACACCTTGATTACAGTAGCATTGGCGACGATCAGTTTCGACGTATGCAAACTGTCCTCCGCTCTACGATCAATAGATACGACGCAAGCAATCGCTCCTGAGTGTTCTCTCCCGAATCTGTGCTTCTGTATGGGTCGCAGCACAACTAATTCTCTTTCGTTTGGAAGACTGCTGTACACTCCTGGGGCATATTGAGAGTTGGAAGGTGCTTGCCGATTCTTGAGGTGCCCAGTTATTTCAATGTATTAAAGAGCTATTGGTTCGCGGAATCTCCAGCTCTGTGCTCGGCGCGATAGTTAGGCTCGAACTCCGAGATTCTTATCGCTTGCCATCGCGAAATAGATCGTACTGATGTTGTATTCCAAGGCTGGAGACACGGCTGACTTGTGGGGAACTGCCAGCTTGATTTTACAGAGTAATTGATCAACTGACTTTTCTCTGACTTTTTGCACTAGTCCAGCAGCGATGCTCGTTAGACGGAATTCCAAAATACCTCCAGGTTGTTTATTCATATGTCCGTAAACACTGTCATAGCCAACACCATTTGACAGCTTGCATGCTTCACGTTGCCATTCATCCCATACGGCCACATCTGTTAAGTTGTTTCACGTTCAGGAGCCACCTTGAAGCTCCTGAACCGAAATCTTCTCGATCAAAGACGATATGTGCATCTCTGTTACATGGGATGCAAACTTATCGCGGTTCTAAGAACAGGTTGGATGTAGCTCCCGTAAAACTTCTTGCAGATCCGAAATAGCTTCAGAAATATCGCCCTCCACCCTGATCCAAACATAATTCAGAGTCACCAGCAATTGAAGTTTCAAAGCAGGATTTATTGGCGGCGTGAGTCACACGGTCAATGACACCGAGCTCAGCAACTGCAATGATCAGGAGTTTAGAGATGCAGCCCTCAGGAGGGCATGTATCTCTACGGGTCATTCGGATGAGTCGTATCAACTATCACAAATTTCCACATAACTACAGACCACAATTTCTGGCTCAGAATTCAATCCGGTCTTCTAATAAGTATTTATTTTTTAGTCTAGGATCTGGTCATGAGATTCTGAAAGTATCCATATGAGATGAATCCAAACCCTGCACTACACAAGACCATGTAGCAGACGAGAAATCGTTCAGAGATCGTCGTGTTGGCATGTGGCTATTCGCTGGCTTGTGTTCAAACCAACGAGGATAGGGGGAACGCCAAATGAGAACATAACTTTCGTCCAAGGGCCCCAAGGCGAAAGGGTATGGCGCGCCCTCGAGAAGTAATTGTGATTAGATAATTTTCTGCTGCACTCGGTAGCACTTTAACCACCTAAACGGCTGGAAATACCATTTCAGTTGCTGGGAATTCTTTGGATGGCTCTCTGGTTTGTATGTAGTCAGAATAACAACTCAAATATCGCTTCCTGTAGTGGTGAGAAAATGTGCCAGCACATTACTGCGGGTATTTAAGACACGTGGGAAAGTTGATAAAGTGGTTAAGGTGGCGAATAAGGCAGGCCATCGGTCCGATCTCTTATATCAACTGTCCCTTTTCCGTGATACTCGATTCTCTGCCACCTCAGACTTGGAGAATCGCCAGTCTGACATCCAGGATGGCACATCAAGTATGGGATCCCATACGAGAGAATCAAGAATGGCCCGATGTTTTCGCCGATCTGATCAAATATATGGCAACGTTCTGAAAGACTTCGCTCACTGATATGGAGTAGTCTATCGCCAGACCACATGTTTCCGTATTGATCCTCTCAGCACGAGCAGTCGTTTGGACGTTCGCAAGACCTACGATGCCGTAAGCAAGGTCCTTTTCGTCCGTCGCCTTGAAATTCGAAGAGAGCACCAGAGCATCCAACAGTGATATTGCGTGACTTCGGCTCTGAGGGTCAACTCGTTCCGGTACCTAATCAGCATTGCCCTTTAAGCGCTCCTGTGGAACTAGTGCATGTTACAGAGATAACCGTCAGCAGCTGTGACCATGTAATTTGAAAAGTATAGTTGAACTGGAGATCGACGATTCTAATTATAACCATTATCACGTGGATGATATATATTTTTCACATGGTTGAATCTCGCAGACTAGCTCACCAGGACACATAGGACACAAGACTCACTATAACATTAGAACTGCTGCATGGAGACAAGGTACTGACGAACACGATGTCTTTCCGTGAGCTGCATCAGGTCAGTTACTGTATAAGATAATTACTTAGCTCGACTAAATAATCTTTCCTATCCTTCCATCAAAGAATCCGAGTCCATATCCCTCACTCGGCTTGGTCGCCGCGGATTTGCGTCTGCTTTATCTTCGGCTTTCAGCCATCGTGTCCCTCTGAGCAGCTGAACTTGAATCTTCTTAGCGTCCTTCTCCATTTCACCAATGGTCAGCAACTCCATCTCTTGCTTTTCATGCTGAAGCGGGCCGTCTAGATCTCTCAGCTGCATTCCGTAGGCATCTACGAAGCGATCCCTGTGGTAGAACACCGGCAAGGGGTTGCTCTTCCAGACCATCTCTTCGCCTCTGTACCTGATGGTCCTTGCTATGATCCACAGCAGCGCGACCATCAGGATCGCCAGCAGGACGAGCGGGAAGGTGAGCCACTGCCACTCGATGACGTTGAAGGGGAGTCTCTCGACGGCCACACCCGCCATCGAGTTCGCCGCGTCTACAGGCCTGGCGAGGCCCAGCCTGTACCGTTTTGTCATGGCCTCTGCGAAGTTGGAGAATATTTCCGAGATGACATCAGCGCTGGCATCACCATTGTTGTAGAATTGAGCAAGCCAATACTTCTCGTAGCAAGCGATGGAATAGCCGGAATTGCAGTATCCAGTAAAGACGCGCTCCTTCAGAAAGCCGCCAGTGAGATACAGCAGAAAGGTATCGAAGCGGAAAACGCATTGTTCAGGTACCTGAACAGAGGGGTAATCGGGTGCGTTGTCTGGCGAGACGATCTGAACCTCGGTGGTGTTCCCGTAGCTCGAGTAGTTGGATGTCGTGTAGACAGTGCCGTTCAGCAGACAGCTTGGCGCCACTGCAGCGACCTTGTAGACGGGGAGAACGCCCCAACTGTCCATATCTGCGATCGTGTCGTTCTCCAATGACTTGGTCGCCCAATCCGCAAACATGGGCTCACTGCGCACTAGGCTTTCTGAGAGGTTGCCGCCGCTGACGCTGGCGCTGTATGACCGCAAACACGGGTATAATGAGCATGCGACGGCGACAGGCTTCGAGACATCACCGCCCTCGCGCTCAGATTCATCAGCTGGCCCGAAGGTCAGGATTGTGACATTTGCCGCTGCCCAGCGGAATTGCTTTTGCTGTTCCTGGGATATGACGTCTCCAGCCCAAGACATTCCCTCCACCGTGTTCACTACGAGAATGGGCGCGTTAGATGATGGGTCTCGGAGGCTGGTCTGATTCGTACCATCTGGCAGAAGATAAGTGGTAGGGCCACCAGACGATTTTCTGGCTTGGATAAGAGAGGAGACATCGAAACAACTGCTACACATGCCAGCAGTGTGATGCGTCGTCTCGTTTTGAGTGTGGGATAGTGAGCCAGTCTGCAAGCTTCTGAAGATGCAGTTGCCCGTCGAACAATCGGTGTCAATCTTGAGATCGTTGCTGCGGGGATTGAGAAAAGCCGAGAACATGCTCGTCTGAGCATCGGCATTCAGATCACGACCGCCGAAAAGAGCACCTTTGGTATTCACAAATGACAAGTTTGTATCGTCGACTGCATGAGCAACAGGCAGATAGGGCGGGTTGGAATCCTGCAAAAGATGATCTCGATTGACAGTGCCGATAGCTTGTTGTGTGAATGGTCCGACCGCAAATGATATCAGTATAATGATGGCACACAATGACGCGGAGAGACTATGTCGGACTGCAATAGATAGGATCCTGACGGCGCCCCAAATACCACGACTGGCGGCATCGAACCGCTTGAAGTTCTGCAGAGGTTGTGGGTTTTTGGAAGACCAGAAGACAGTCCATTTCTCCTGCGAGATGATTTCGGCTGCAATGACCACAATGGCTGCTCGGTAAATCGTTGAGAGCAAGGCAATGAGAGAGTTGAGGTTGAGCACGAAAGTCCAATCGTCAACAGGCTTGTTATGCTGCTTGGCAAGAATGACGAATATGGCAACTATCAATCCAATCGCGACCAAAAGTGAGACGATCTCCCAAGCCCATGCTCTCGTTGCACCAAGCCGCGTACGACGTTGATGCCTCGATGTAGAGCCAGGAACATGCTCCTCAGACCCGTGGTCAAACGCAGACTGTGAGGTGGGGAATTGATGGGTCTGCGCACGACCTGTGTATTTCTCTTGTGCCCGGATATTATCGTTCATGGAGTTGTCAACTGCCGTTGTTGTCCAGGATCCGGCATTAGAATAACGAGGTTGTTGTGCATGTGATTGTGCATCATCACTCACTGGAGTCGGTATAAATGACAGGTCCTGTGATCGTGTGTCATCACTCACTGGAGTCGGGATAAATGACAGTTCCTGTGAGTGTCCTTGGTCATACTGACGGTGAGTCCAGAACGGCATGGTGTTTTTTGAGATTGTAGAGAGAGTTTGAAACTCATGTGCTTCAAAGTGTCCGGCGTAGAGTCTTCAATTAACATATTCGAGATTGGCAACATGCGAGTCACTGTGAGTAGACACTCCGCACATGGCAAGGCTGTGCCGCCGGGAGGATCGGTGGTGAAACCACACAGATCGCTCACCGGCAGATTTCAGCCAGTGGCATATACGAGTTGTCACACAACTGGGGCTCTGGTCAGATCATATCCATATACGCGCCCGATTTGCGAACCTTGCCCCGTCACCTGTTGGAGAAGCGCCCCATGTGGAGATTCCCGATAGGAATTTGTGCCCGAAAATAGCGCGCTTAACGTCTCTAAATTCGGATTCAAAAGATGTAAACCAACCTTAAAAAAGTTAAAGCCAACAAGTTCCTGTTTAATTCCATATAGCTCTTCACTATGGTACGCTTAGTCAGATAGTTAAGACCTCGTCGCGATCTGCCTTGTCTACTATTTAGTTGTAAGCAGCCAGCCCATTATGATCTCTAGAACATGTCCAACCAGCCTTAGCGTCTCACTGCATTCGAGCTATCGTGTTTCAAATAAAAAGAGATTACCTGCAGCAAATTTGGGGTGAGAAATCGACATGTACAAATGGTGAATTTCGGTACGATGGCTGTTCAGGATGCATTATCGAATCCGATGCGAAAATAACGATACTAAAGAATGAGCATCTGACAGGGATACAAAATATAGTATAATACTTCACTATCTTGTTGAAATCGTCTCGTGGAAGGCCGGTCGTCATGGCTGAATCTCTGCTCCCGTTTGGTTGAGTAGTATTATTATGACGTCCGGTATAACCAGTCAATATTCCGAAGCAGGGACTGGAGATCAATTTGAGATGCTCGCATATATGTATAAAGCCCTACGAAGTACCCAAAGGCTGGACTTTCCTTGCAGCAAGCTAAGAAGAGAAAAACGCAAGTCGAGCTCTGAGTATCAAGAAGCAAATACGTCGAAGATGGTACGTGGAGAACGAGGTGCAACTGTGGTCCTCCGTGCAATGCGAATTGAGAAGGTAATGATTTTGGTAGTACAAAACGGTATATCGCGGATGCTTGTAGAGTTATCATATGGAAGAATAGATAATCGAATGGCACAAACCTACACTATTTGTCCGTAGCAAAAAGAGAATGATTCCTATCATAGTATGCTGACATCGATTATGCTATTTAGCGGCTATTCTCCCACCCTGAACCCCATGCTATGCTTCTGATATGTATACTTTATCCGTCGTTATCCAAATGCCAAGTCTGTGCAAATCACGCAACTGGATTCGAACATGGCTTTCCTTCCCCCTCTCTATTACGTCCGGTAGCTATGACGCCGCGGGTATCTTTTTCGTCAAATCATGTTTCTTGAATCGTTTCCTAGACAAGCAGGTCTAAAGTCTTGATTCTTGTGCTGTCGTAAAAAATGGTATGCAGTCGTTATTGGATCACGCACTCTCTATCTGGCACCTCGCCGTTCTTGCCTTTCTCTTTTCCTTTTCCCCTGTCAAGTCTCGCCTTGGATCTGCCCCTTTTATGGTGGTGCTGACGACTAGGGTTATCTTTCTCCTTGCTCTCTTCCTCATCTTTCTCGGACTCGGCAGTGGTTGATCCATTGGCATTAATTATCTCGAAATCGTCTTCTGGATTCACAAATAGACTGTCTCGCAGTGGCTCACGTAAAGGCTCTTTGCTCGCCCGTACAAGCCCGCTCAGTCGCGACATGGTAAGACTAATGCGGCCTTCTCCAGCTTGACTCTGTGGTCTGCTCTTGCTGCCGCTCGCACGGAATTTAGCAGCAGCCCTGCTCAACCGCTGTGCTGTGGTTTCCTCGCCGGGGGTGGCGATAGGAGAAGGGCCTTCGAGAGGTGTCAGTGCAGGACTGGGGCCAAGCGATGTGTCCACAGCACAACTGCCGCGACGGGACACACTAAGAAAGCCGTCATCGTCTGCAAAGCTTCGCCGAGACGGGCGCTCTAGCTCTGACGAGAAGCGAATACTAGCACTGGTCGAAGGTAAAGTGCTGAGATTGTCGAAGTAGCTGCTGGCTTGTCTCGACACCACAGGTCTTTCTGAACCATGTGGAATCTTTAATTGAAGAGCTGAGTCGTCATACGACGGTGGCTCAGCCTCAGTGCCGTCTGTTGAACTAGCTGTAACGTCCACGATCGGAACGATCTGATAGAGGAGGAGGTATGGCATCTCTTCCTTTAGCGATTGCTTGATATCGTCAACTGGAGAAATGCGGTCCTCGACGGCCAGGTCATCAAACTTGACCCATTGTGCTTCTTCATAATCGGGAGGCGCATCGCTGTCATACCTCCGGTTGTCCGTAAGCAGCTTTGGGGCGACACGGCAGAATGAGATATAATGCCCCGAGTGCAACGAGTCGCCTCTGTGACAGACAACCGACTGGAGTACCAATTTGTACTCTTGGCTCAAGCCACTCTCTTCCACGTGGCGGTCATCTACAATGAAATGCGGCAGCCTCAAGCTGTCAGGGATGTCAATGTAGGTATTTTGCCGTTTGGGCACACCCTGCTCATCGACCATGTATCGTTTCAGGCAGATGCCGACAACTGGCCTTTGACTAAAGTGCCGCGCTACTTCAAGATCGCTCTGCGGTTCATGGTTCGCAGGTGAATGCCATGCTATAACCCAAAGTTAGTAAGCTCTCTGCTCATGGCCAACGAGAAGTATAACCTACGAATAAGTCGGAAGAATTGCCACGCCGGTATTGTCACTGCCTTGACGACTGATACACTCCGTTTGGCTCGGTGAAACAGACCTCCCGTCTCAGACGCGGCAGCCTTGTTCTTGTCGTCGAGTACGACCCGTTGTATAATGCTTTCTGTCCGGCTGCGATGTGGTCTGGTTGGAGATTGGGGCTCTTGTGCAGTAGGAAGGTTTGGGGTTGGATGTGCCGTCCATCTCCTCTCGAGCGGTGCCATATGTGAACCATTTGCGCCAACTGTCAAAGCTGGCTCCTCGTCACTCTTCCCTTGTCCATTTTGCGCATCGTCTGGGTCGACGACCCGGACTGTGCTCATTGGTGTCAACGGTGCATCAGCGGCAGTCGGAGTTTGAGGGGTTGGCGTCGGTGTCATTTCTCTTCGGCCTCCTTTCCTGTCGTCAAAGCTATCTCGGTGCACATCAACTTGGGCATTGAAGTACTCTTCCAAGCAATCTTCGAGGTTAATGCCTTTGCCATCGGGATCCGGCGGTACGGCAAGGTTCAGCAGTCTTTCGTAGACCACCTTATGATCCGCCTCGTCATTCTTCCCGTGGTGGAACAGATCAACCTGGAGTGGCAGCAGGGGCAACTGGAGAGTCTCGGTGATAAAGGCAAAGGCTTCCGATGTGTCTTGTTGCTCGACGAACCGAGCATCACTCCAACCACATTCCGCCAACGCTTCTTGAATTAACTCGGTCATGTCAGTGTGGATCAGCTTCCCACTGCGCAGAAGGTTGACCCATAACCTCAAAAGTCCGGCCAGCCTCTTTTGCGGCTCGCCTGGGAGCTCTTCCGCGGTCAGCATGCACTCGAAAGCCTCGAGCTTGGCGAACATGGCGAACAGCAACGCGTCGAGGTAGCATGTAACCATTCCTCTATTCTCAGCGCCCAACATGGGGACATTGGGGTTGTAGGGGACGATGGTGCCCGAGAAGGTCGCCTTCTGCAGTTTCATGAGCTCGACGGCCTTGTCTACGTCGCCGGCGGCGAACTGGGAGTGTAGGGCGAATAGAATGTGGTCCTCGCGAACATTTGTCATCTCCAGCTCTGCGAGCCGCTTGAGAACCTCTTCGACCTTGGCCGGCTCATCTTGATTGTTTTCCTGGTCCTTCTCAGCTTGCTTTGCGGTCGGCCGAAATATGGTAAAGAAGGCATCGGCTGAGAACGGTCGGTGCTATACACAGTGGACGGTATAAGCCTTCAGCTCGCAAGGTATATGATGGCCTTGCATGGCCATTACTAGTGGATGGGGGGGAGGACATGGGCATACCTTGTGCGCAGCGTCTGCAGACTTGCCGCGGTGATGACTTGTTTTCTCGGTCTTGTCCCGCCGCGTCAAGAAGCGCTTGGGCAGCTTTCCTGCCTTCATGCTGCAAGTACAGATCTGTACCTCGACCTATAAGAGAATTATTGGCGGGGGTGATTTGCCGGCGACCGACTTTCGCAGGATGGCGGGGCAATCTGCGCGCGCGGTACGTGTGTGGTGGTTGAGTTGAGGGGCGCTTGGTCTCCGTCGCAGACAGCTCTTGTTATGGCTGAAGAAGGTGAAATAGGCCAACAATTGGCATCTTCTGGTGTCGCTTCTAGCTTGCCATGGGCAACATGTGGTCGTAGAGACTTGACGAGTGCGGTTGAATGTGCGGTCGCTGCTGATATGTAGCCAAGGCGCGGTGGAACAGTCGACGGGGGATGGGGGGAACGTTTCGCAGGGCTTGGACTGGAACCGAAGATGCTCGAGGCTCGCAAAGGGCTTGGCTCTGTTTGTGTCCTTCTTTGTATGTATGTTAATGAGAGAATCCGCCCTTCGTATAATGTTGCTGAGGTAGATCAAGTTGGTCTTTGGGACAAAATTTCGATCTGAGCAAGCAACTATATCAGGCGGACGCTCGCCCGACTCTACTGTTGGATATGCCTTTCACTTTCCTCTCTCAGGTAGTCACAACGCTCACTGGAGCAAAGACGCCGTCCCATGGAGACCTAGCTTCGGCAGGCGGAGTCTGCAGAGGCCCGACTGACGGTCAAGTGACTCGACAAGTCAAGTAGCGAGGAGAATCTGGGACGACGGCTTTCTATTTCTTTCTCGTGGAATCGACGTGATGTGGTCAGAGGATCTGTCAATCGACGCGGGCAATTAATCACGCCAGCCGCTGTCCGTCCATTGACAGACGCTACACTGCGTAATGCGTACATACCGCTTACCAAGGCAACCAAGGAATCAATTCAATCGAGAGACCCTTGAAAGAAGGTTGGCGGATAAACAGTAAAATAGCGTCATACCAAGCGCCAATCCCCCCCCCTGCAGCTCAAGGTTATGTGCAACATGTGGAGGGGTTCTCCGGACCATCTCGACCGTGAACATGTTTGGAGAATTCCCCTTTTCCCTGCGCAAGCAATGGAGTCAAGGAGTCTACTACTGTATGTACATAGGTACTGTATTACACCACTTCTAATGCACGAGTCAAAATGGGGTCTCCAAAGTTGGAGAGACGTGGACCCGAGTCTCTGGGTTTCCTGCCTGACATGGTTGCCATGTTTGCCTGTGGTTGCGACTCTGTACTCTCACTCTCACAGCTGTGACATTGGCCTGGGCGCATCTCTCGGGTCAGCTCCACTCAGCCTCGTACAGTACAAAGTAATAAGCTGTAGTTAATTACTGCCTGTGGCCCACGCCAGGAATCATACGCCGCGATTACATCTGAAAGGTGCAGGCAGCCCTTTACACCACCGGTCATGGGTGTCTCGTGATGAGACGCAGAAACTGTATGTCTGTAGTCATAAACGAGCATGTCGATCTTTGTAATGATCGTAGCCTGGAAATTCTCCATGTGTATAGGCTGACGTGCGCAATGACGATCATCTGTTCCTGCTTTGGATGAGATCCGATCCAATCGTGGCAGGCATGAGTGAAATGTTCAACACACCACAGAGCAGACCACGGAATTCGCCTGGCAGCCTTGGTGCAGCCGCTGGAAAAGGTCAACGCAAGTTCAAAGCAATGGCAAGGGCAATGAGCCACGGGCCACAAGGCCTACTAGTAGAAGGGCCAGGTTGGCCAGGGGGTGTGAGACACCTAAAAGCAATACGTACTACATACTGTATGTAGCTAAAGCTGAAGAGCACTAACTGGGTTGAACGTTAGCTCCATCAAAGCACAGGCCCTTCTCAGCCAGCCGGACTTTCAGAGCCTCCGGCGTACAAGGAAATTTCCAGGAGCTCGAATTCGGCGATAGCTTCAATTGAGTAGCCGGGCCTGTTGGGAGCGAAGAACAAGAACATCCGTCGCGTCCCCGTGTAAGACACCCTCTAGAGTCATGGCTTCACTCCGGGAGGTCCCTCGCGCCGCGAGAAACGTACTCAAGGCTTCGACACTACAGCCGTCCGCATCCACCTTCCGAAGATGCGCTTCCACAGACGCTTCCTCGGCGAGAACGGCACCCGCTATCCCAGACATTGAGACAGAGTCCGGCCTTGCCACCCCGATTGTAGACAGAGGCTCTATCAAAATTGAGGACCCCAGGAGAAGAGCGAGCAGGAGAGAGTCGGAGCTTCCTCATTCCAGGTCAGTTTCGCGCCGCCTCCTAGTCCAGGCAAATCAGAGTCAGGCGACAACCAATATCTAACATCATGGTAGATACCGATACCACCCCCCGAAGTACTACAGAGGTCCCATGCACCCTGTCCAACCGCCGCCCTCTTCCGATCCCGTAGCCCGTGACTTCGTGCCAGGGCCCTTCAACCTTCCCCGTCTCAAGCAGACATACAATACCGTCGCCCAGGACATCATGACCCTCGCATACCAGCACAAGATCCCCGGCACACCCGACAAGCCAGAGCGGATACGACTTCGAAGCTGGGGCGATGAGTCGCCATACATGGAGAACCGGCCCAAGCGCGGACCTCGTGGTGCTGACGTCCTGCTACCCCTGGAGCAGAACATCACGTACCACAACATTCCCAAGATCAAGTGCATTCACATTGCCTCCTTCATGCCGCAGGCCAGGAAGAACCAGGACTACATCACGGTGGCTAAATCGGTAGTGCAATCAATCACCGGCGTGCGGCCAGAGGCCACTCACGTCAAGCACAGTGTTGCGCAATGGAACATCGTAAAGGGTGACCGCACCGGTGTCAAGGCGACTATTCACGGAAACCAGGCATATGAGTTCCTGGACAAGATGATCAACCTCGTCTTCCCCAAGATAAAGGAGTGGAAGGGTGTCGCTGGTACGACAGGTGACGGCGCTGGCAACTTGGCGTGGGGTTTCCAGCCCAGCCAGATGATGTATTTCCCCGAGGTAGAGGCCAACTACTCGCTCTATCCCGCAAAGGTACGCCCGTCTCGCCCTTGACAGACGACAAAGATGATTGATATTAACTGACTACCCAACAGATGATTCCCGGCTGCCGAATCTTCGTTGAGACCACGGCAAAGTCCGACAGACACGCACGACTGCTTTTACAGTCCCTGGGCATGCCGTTCGATGGGAAGTTGATCGACTAAGTGTATAACACATTTGGTCTTGGGACGGGAATGTGCAAATAAAGTATCGCATAAGAGCATGTACAGAGTGTAATATATATATGTGTATCACCAACGGTGTAAAATTTCAATCACGATGCTCACATCATAGTTGTTTAATCTTTGTATAAATGTCTCCAAGTCTTTAAACCGATATGCACCCTTGAAGCCTCACAACCGTCTTGGTCGGGCTTGATCTATGTTAACTGATCCAACCAACGCCTTTTATGCCAGGTCATGCCCCAATTTTCCTTTGCCCCATGGTATCTCATAAAACATTACTCCTCAGCACTTGCAACTCTCTCCCTCAGTTTGTCGACGACAGCGTCCACTGCATCCATGTCCGTCGCCTCGACCTTGCCAGTCTCCGTGCCCTCCCTCTTCTTCAACTCGCTGCTCAGCACGTCCATAGCGGGCTGGTAATTCCTCACGGCCGAGCTGAGGGCATACACAGCCTTCCGCCTGACGTCCTTCACCTCCCGCTCGCCAGCGTTGACGCCCTGGGCGTCCTCAACAACGACATCCCCATCGCCGCTGCGCTTCTCCATGCCCAGCCGCTCGCCGAGGACCATGGCGACGAGCTTCTCGACGCCGCCGAGCGCGACCAGTCTCTCCTGGCTCGGCGCGTTGTTCTGCACGGCGGTGCCCACGACCCAGGCGGCGTAGCGGCGGATCTCCCGCTCGTCATGGCCCAGCAGCTCGAGCAGCGGGGTCCACAGGCCGACCTTGCTCAGAAGGTTCGCGTTGTCCAGCGACTCGATCAGCTGCTCCAGGTTGTCGAAGGCAATGATCTTGGACTCGAGCGTCACCTCCGGGTCCGTCGACGTGATGTTGTGCATGGCCGCGATCATGAGGTCCGCGTCCGAGGGCCCGCCCATCAGCGCCGCGATCGCCTCCGCGTTGGGCGACCGGATCGGCCCCGCGTAGGGCGCCGTGTTGTCCTCCTTCGCCGTCGAGGCGTTGATGCTCCATTTCAGGAGGTCGTTGAGCTGTTTCTTGTCCGACATTTTGGAAAGAAAAGGAAAGGAGGGCGGTCTGGTTTATTGTGTTCTCTGGTGTGGTCGGAACTTTTTTTTTTCCTTCAAAAGGTGTGGACCTTTGTTGCGTATAAGTGAGGCTCGTGTACCTCGAGGGATATAGGCGGGCACGCAAACTCTAGAAGGGGTCGTGCAAATAACGTTCGTTTTGGCAAAAGTCTACTTATGAAACTGCTATGCTGTGATCTAAAAACTCGGTTCTTTCGTTGGGTGGTCGTAGATAAGCTCTTCGGGTGTTGTTTCAAAGTGTTATGTCTCAAGGTTGGGCTTTTCCGTCTCAACTCAAAGTCGTTTTTTTACATAAGGCTTGTAGATTTCCAGGGAGCTCGGGCACCTTCCCGAACTTTCTAGCGAAAAGCTTATACTGATAAGCCTTTTCCGGCATAGCCTGTGATCACGTGTGTCTTATCGAGACCCTGAAAATGTTGGGGATCTTACGCCGAATACCGTACCAGACAGCCAAGAGCCTGCACTCGAGGTTAATTAGGAACATTGTTCAAAGTGGCCTTCCCAGGAAGCTCTAGTCACCCTTTCGTAGCAATTGGAATAAGGTATATTGTCGTGATAGATAGCTGCCCGCACCTGACGATCTATTCCAACGTGCTTTTAAATGCCCCGCATACTGCCCCTCGTTGCTGCTTTAAAGAAATAGCTAAGCCAGCAACATGGAAGGAATATGGATGCTCAAGAATGCCATTGATGATTTGATTCAGCCAGCCTTGAATCGCGATATCATTCTGGAAGACTTCACATTCCTATATCGAGCATGCAGAGACAGTTGCATCCAAGCCGCCTCGGAATGGCTTTGCCGCTCCTCACTGTAAGATCAGGTAGACAATCCAGAGTAACGGAGTTCCAGCAAGACTGGCTCGGCCTAATGAATACCTGCAACACGGATCCTCAAATGATCATTCTCCCGTGAGCAATCTCAGGTAATTACCCACCCATGTTAAATGATGGTCTTTGTCTACCTATATGGTCCACACGTGTGAAAGTGAGGTTATGTTAGCAGAAATGCTTGCTAGGCTTCCACTGAATGGACAACTCAAAATTTGCATGGAGAACTCACGAGCATAGCCCCTGTATACGCAAGCAGCTCGCCCCCATGAACATCGGTTAAACCCGAGTTTGGCGATGCCTGCTTGGCGTACATAACTTACTGTATCCGAAAGGGACCCGACTGCAAGACATACGTAATTATACAGCTTGCGTTACCTTCTAGCATAGAAGGCTGCCTATTGGGCGAAATTTTTATGACAAAGTTCCTTTGTTTATTTTCCTGTTGTCTGCAAATGAAGATCAGTATAGCTTCACATGTTAACCGTATCTCACGGCTCAGATCCTGTATGGACTGGTCTTCTATAAATAGTACCCTGCAGGAATATCATGTACCGTGAGATACGACACCTATCGCGGTTTCTACGAGGGCGAGTTAGGATTCGTTGTGAAACCCGCCATACTTCCTCGGCACGTGCTTTGGCATTGTTGTTGATACCTAATGGCAGGCAACTGAAATTCGAGACGAACACTAACTTGAAGCCTGGACTAGACAAACAGTGCTACCTTCAACTAGCTGATGACGACGTGATATATATCGACAAAAGGTGAAACGGGGACAGCAGGCAAATATGGTATGTATAATTTGGTGCCTACTGTACAACGGGGAAGAATGGAGATGATAGCTTGGATTAATCATGTTCAGTCGGCGCTGCCTAGGGGGGTCGGCGACCAGGTATGGTATGTATGTAAGTAAGCTACCGTAAAATAGGTAAAAGCGGCGAGGAGATTGGATAGATGGCAAATGCCAGCTACAAGGCAAATGCCAGCTGCGATTAGGGGGTCATCACACTAAAAATGGGGCTGGTTGAGGGGTATGTCTGTACTATGTACTACTGTAAGTATTCTGACATCCAGTCTTGGCCAAGGTTGGTTTGATTTGGGCTGGCTGGACTCTCTCCCTCCCAAGTGATTTGCCTGGTCCTGCTCTTGGTCGCTTCCCTTGTCACGCTCCCCGACCTTTGTGTGAATTCGAACCCACAACTTGAACTTGATTCGAAGAGGCGGCTGCCACTCAAGCTTGGGCTTAAGTTTTAAGTTGACCTTTCCCTTTTCCCTCTGCCCACCTCCACCGCATCAACCATCACTCCGATCATTGACAACACATTTTAAGGTCCATCTCCCAGCCTCCCTCTCCTTGTCCGCTACTCCCATTGTAGGCATCGAGAATCTCTCAATCCAGCATACCAAACTCCAGCTCTCACGATCCCGCTATCGCGTGAGCTTCATCTTCTTCCTACCGCATTTCTTCTTTTTTTTTTCTTGACGTTTCGTCTACTACGTAATCCGCCAAAATGGAAGGTAAGTCCACATAACATTTGCCCACCTTGCACCGTCAAAAACCCTCTGTCGCATGCCGCATTGTCCTACTGTCATCGCCTCATTACTGAGCCATCGCTGATCTCCGTTTTTTTCCTGCTTCACAGAGGAGGTTGCTGCCCTCGTCATCGACAATGGGTAAGACTATATCCCCCGGCTTCACCGACATCCTGAGCTCCCGGCACGCCCCCCATCGTATCGGGCCCCAACGAGCTCGCTGCGCATCACCAGACCATGGAAACACCACGAAAGAATTGATTGAGCTGACTTGAGTCCAGTTCGGGTATGTGCAAGGCCGGTTTCGCCGGTGATGATGCTCCCCGAGCTGTTTTCCGTAAGTTCTGACCCTCGACACTTTGTGCCACCCCGCTTCATGGCGCTATTGCCGTGGCGGGCCCCAGTGGCAGGTCATGGTAGCATCAATTTACTGACCCGTTTCCACAGCCTCCATTGTCGGTCGTCCCCGTCACCATGGGTGAGTATTCTTGTCCCGTCTGTTCGGGCTCAGATCTCGAGCTCGTTCGTGGCCCCCCAAGTGGTCTCTAACAATGCGGCAGTATCATGATTGGTATGGGTCAGAAGGACTCGTATGTCGGCGATGAGGCACAGTCGAAGCGTGGTATCCTGACACTGCGTTACCCCATCGAGCACGGTGTTGTCACCAACTGGGACGACATGGAGAAGATCTGGCACCACACTTTCTACAACGAGTTGCGTGTCGCCCCTGAGGAGCACCCCGTCCTGCTCACTGAGGCTCCCATCAACCCCAAGTCCAACCGTGAGAAGATGACCCAGATCGTCTTCGAGACCTTCAACGCTCCCGCTTTCTACGTCTCCATCCAGGCCGTCCTGTCTCTGTACGCTTCCGGTCGTACCACTGGTATCGTGCTCGACTCCGGTGATGGTGTCACCCACGTTGTCCCCATCTACGAGGGTTTCGCCCTTCCCCACGCCATTGCTCGTGTCGACATGGCCGGTCGTGACTTGACCGACTACCTCATGAAGATTCTGGCTGAGCGCGGCTACTCTTTCTCCACCACCGCCGAGCGTGAAATCGTTCGTGACATCAAGGAGAAGCTCTGCTACGTCGCCCTTGACTTCGAGCAGGAGATCCAGACCGCTGCCCAGAGCTCCAGCTTGGAGAAGTCCTACGAGCTTCCTGACGGTCAGGTCATCACCATCGGCAACGAGCGTTTCCGTGCTCCCGAGGCTCTCTTCCAGCCCTCCGTCTTGGGTCTGGAGTCCGGCGGTATCCACGTCACCACCTACAACTCGGTCATGAAGTGTGATGTCGATGTCCGTAAGGATCTGTACGGAAACATTGTCATGGTATGTATTTCTGTGGATTGGTCCCCTGCAGTACGGGCCTGTCTTTTTCATGCTTGCTAACATTGTTACTCTTAGTCTGGTGGTACTACCATGTACCCCGGTCTGTCTGACCGTATGCAGAAGGAGATCACTGCCTTGGCCCCATCCTCCATGAAGGTCAAGATCATTGCTCCTCCCGAGCGAAAGTACTCTGTCTGGATCGGTGGTTCCATTCTTGCCTCCCTGTCGACCTTCCAGCAAATGTGGATCTCAAAGCAGGAGTACGACGAGAGCGGTCCTTCCATCGTCCACCGCAAGTGCTTCTAAGCGCCTGTGGCTGACCGTACTCACTTCCCCCGTCCACTTTTCACGAGCTCACGACAATACCGACAAGGTGATGGTGATGCAGGATGCAGAGCTCCTCGTACCGATGTGGAAGTGTTCCTCAAAAAGACGAAATTCATATCTACGAAAAGTTCTAGTAATGGTCGAGCGTTTGGGGTCTGTGTATAGACAGGCTCTCGAGAGACAGGAGGGCATGACATGCTTTTTCAGAAGGCTTTTCATGCACGGAATGGGGTAGACAATTACAGGGTGATCGATCATATACTTCGTCTTTTTCTCGTTAAGCGTCTGATTTGAAAACCTTAGCGCGCCTGTGCCTGTCTTGTGAACGAGTCCATCGCCGTGAACTGTAACCGTCCTTGAATGAATGGCACATGCACTTGGAACATTGAGTCGTCAAAAAGTCCGAAAAGGCACAGTACCTAGGAGTTGGCAGTTACCTTCCCAAATTCACGAAGCTTGAAGGCACTCACTAGAGATATCCGTTAACAATACCAGCTATGCTATGTTTTCTCCTTCTCTTTCGGGCCAGGAATCTCTGTGAAGTCCTGAGCTGTTGGTGTTGCGCCATCTTTCTCGTCGATCTCGTCTTGGAACTCGTCCTCAAACTCGTCCTCCTCTTCTCCCTCGCCAGCAGCGACCTCCTTTCCATCCTCGTCCAACTTGCGATACTTCCTCCTCTTCTTCTTGGCGGCGCTGGCCCTCTTCTTCCGCTTCGCGGCCCCGACGACGGAGCTCCGGCTCTCGTCACCCCGGCTCATGTCGTCGAGCTTGTCGGCGAGCAGCTGCCGGGCAATCTTGCGGTTCTCGGTCCGCGACCGTGTCGCCTGGCACTTGACTACCAGGCCCGTCGGTATGTGTTTCAGCTGCACCGCCGAGCTGGTCTTGTTGATCTTCTGCCCGCCCGGCCCGGACCCCTTCAGGAACGACTCGTGCAACTCCGCGTCCGGCGGTGGCTTGGGCCGGGGCGGCATGTTGGGCGCTTTCTTGGACAGGTGGCTGAGCGTGGTGAAGGAGGCGGCGTGGCGCCATGGTGATGAGGAGGATAGGCACCGGGGCAGGAGGAGTCGGGACATGGTGTTTTCGGTCGGGGTTGTTTTCTGTGTTGTATATCGATAAATGTCCAGGTTGAGAGTGGGCTTGTTTGCTCGGTGCCGAGATAAACAGGTAAGTAAGTAAGTAAGTAAATAGACAATAAATAGTTAAATAAACAAATGCTGTAGGCAAGTCTTGCGCCCAGGGACGCTCAATTGGAGCAGCTGTTCTGTCTGTCGGTTGGTCCGGCGGAAATCCCAGTTCCTCTTGTTCTGTTGCTTCCTTACGGCTTCCCCAATTGCATCGTGGCTACTCCGTTCAGTTTGTTGTACATGGGGGGAGTGTGGTCATCTGCTGCAATTACGATGACCCCCGGAAAAGTTGAGGCTTTGGCAGACGTTGGACCCCTAGAAATGACGTCCGTCCGTTACGTTACGGCGGGCTGCTGCGCACGGCCAAATCCGCGACCCTCTAAGGTTAGAACGAACGTGGTTTCTATACTCGCCAGCCCGCCTCTCGCTTACACGGGATAGCCCTGTAAAGGTGAAAATCATAGCCTTTTCTTTTTTTTTCCTTTTTTTTTTTTTCAACATGGTGTTACAGCCTCAATACGTCCTCTACAATACACATCATTGCTTCGTCCCATTCTTCTGAGCATTACTACCCAACGACAAGAAAAATCTCACGGCAAACACAATGATTGCGATACGTCAAGCGGCCAAGAGTCTCCCTGGCCTCGTCCCGGCCATGCGGCGCTAGCTGCGCATCAAGAGATACCAGTTCGAGGTCACGTTCGCCCTCTATATATGTACGCCGACGGAGAAGTGTCTCATCTGTAAGTGTTCATATTTTGTTTTCCCTTTTTCTTTTTCTTTTCTTTCTTAAACTTCTTTCCCTCCCTCTTCACACATATTTTTACATTCCCGACCTTAAATAATGGCAGAGCCGTAAGAGGGAAATAGGCCATGCACCACCAACTGACTCAAAGGTCCACCAGATACGATCCTGGTCCTCTTGGGCGCCCTGATATGCTTTGCTACCACACTATATCTGCCGCGCTGGGCATTGTCGCTGGTCAAGTATATCGTTTCTGAGATCACCGGTCTGAGGAGAGAGCCTGGGCAGAGGAGCCCATAAGAGGTGGCCTTGCGGTAGAGATGACCAAACATGTGGCGATACGGACTACAGATGGGCTGGGTATGACTGTCGGAGGGGGGGGGGGGGGGGGGGGGGGGGGGGGGCATTTGGCTACGCCGGGGACAAGATCAGGGACGTTGAGAGGCAAGATCTCTTCGTGGCCACCAGATCGATCGGGCGCATCCTCGTCGTCTCGTGCTTTCGATATGCTAGGTCGCAACGCGATCTTGCGGTCTCGCCTGGTTGCCGGGTCGTTGGTGACAAGCTCGAAGAATTCATAACACTTACAACGAGAGTTACTTTTTCATAGTTTTTAAGTTTTCACGTCCTACCGTTTTGAGTATATCAGGTGCCGCTTCTGTCGTTGCTGGCAAGCCTTAATCTCATTGACGAGAGTGTAGTTATTACATATATCAAGAACATTTACTTTAAGAAGTCTCCAACTCACTAGATACCGGGCAAACTCGCTACTGGCATCATCCCGAAGAGCTTGCTGAACTCGTTTCAGATTCATGCGGAAAACCTATGAGAACGAGATACTAAGGAAAACAGCTTTGTGCCAACTATATTTCGTCCACCGCAGAATATGACCAACAATGACTGACTGAACTCTTCTCACTACGTAGTTTTGGGATTCTCTTTCTCCTCCACATTGTTCGAGAGAATCTGAGAGCAAAAAGGAGGTTCTGGCGTTTCTCACAATGACTGTGGACGAGCTTGAGCCCTTCGTTTCTTCAGAAGGCCAAAATAGTCAGGTCAATAATTTCATGGGTGGCGGCAGTACCATGGGTGCGCCATCGATGATGGTAGTCGTGTGAACGTTTGCCTCAAGCAGACGGAACTACGTATGTATTACTGCATAATCAAGCTCATTAGTAGGGTACCTTGTGCCCTTACTTTTTTTTTCACATCCAAGTCACTATCTTCGTTCACAGTCAGAACAGCTTTTTTGCTTTACGGGGTTTTCATTCGTAGTAATTAACCTCTAGATTCCGGTCGCTTCCGTGCCGATGGCCAAGCCGTCCAACCTGCCACGACCGTTTCATCATTTATCCGGCTGGTTGGCCTTCCGGCGTCGATTTTTTCGCGTCGATGGTTGGGGCTTTTCGCGATGGCCGAAAGTCATAACAGAGTCCTCCAGGCAGACGATCTTGAATCCGAGGTCCTTTTCGAGAACGATGAACGGCGTCTCTGGGCCGAGGACCTGGCTCTCCCATTTCTCGTCGTCGTTATTGACGGCTTTGACCGATATCAGGCCCGAGATGACTGACAGCGTGGATTCGTCCACCGTCGAGTGCGTTTCCAAACTGGTACCCGCCTGCCCCATGCAGTTGTCGCTGAAAGTCACGGTGGGCGCTGCGGCGTTGTAAAACTTGTCCGTAGAATGCCACACGGACGCGTCGTCGATGTTGGTATATATCATAGTTCGGGGGAGGCCGGTGATGATGAGGGGGGGCTGATCCGCCGTGTGCTCTCTCAGGCGCTTCTGGGCTTGCTCAACGGTCACCGCCTCGCCGTCATTTCCAGGTCGGTATTTCCAGATATGCATGGGAGCATCTCGGTTTTTTATCTTGGAGAGATAGTTGATGAGGCTTATGGAGATATTCGTGGTAGGCATCTGTCGTCGGTGGCGATAGAGATGAGGCTTTCCTGGAATTGATGTTTTGTCCAAGCTATATGCTGAGTTAAGTATTAGTGTGTGACAGAAGAATTGGTTTTGTTTCTACGCTTCCACTATTATATTTATAAAAAAAAAAGCACAACCGACCAAGAGTGATTATGGGTTAATTGTTTGTAGTTTGTTCGAGCATAGCCTTTTGTTAAGTATTGGGGACAAGAAATAACTTCCATCAAGAGTGATTAAGTATTAGTTATTTGTAGTTTTGTTGGAACACAATCTTTTATTGAGTATTAGGCTTTGTAGTGGTAGATATCTAGATCAGACCAATTGATAGATTGTGGTCAAGTCAGTCACATTATTTATCATTATTATATAACGTTCATGGCTCCCGCTTGGTTCGTTTGTGATGAGCCATGGTTCGTGACTTTGAGGGCAAGTGTAGAGTGAACAGTGACTAACGTAGCAATCTGTCATACCGTGTCACAAATCACAAATTTGGCTTTCCATTCCCAACAACTCGGACTATGCATGGGGGATGGCGTCTTTTGTTTGGATCACAGCTACAGAGTACCGGCGAACAGAACGCATACGCATCTCAGTCTTCAAAAATTAACGACCAGAGAGCTCTCATCGAGGAGGAACATTTGTGACCTACCATCCTTGCCACATCTACACGGTATCGGGTTGCAGCTAGGAGTCTGGCTGGACAGGCACTTTATAGCAGAAGTAGACCAGTGAGTTCTCATCGAGGAACATGGTGAAGTTCCAGCCCTTCTTGAGGCAGACCGCCCCGTTCGCCGGTTCAATGGTCATACTCAGATTGCTGTTGGTACCCCTTTTAGACAACTTGCCCAAAACTGATGTCTGGCCCGCATTGACCGAGACCCACGAATCCTCCTCCACCACGCCCAGCTCTATGCACGTGCCTCCCTGCCCGGCGAGGAAGCTGCCGCAGGATAGGGACTTGGTGCTACTCGGGAACGAAGAGGCGGTGGTCACGTCGACCACGTCGTCGATGGAGTCGCGGACAACGTATTGGGGGAGGCCGGAGACGACGAGGCGAGGCTTGCCTGGGCCGTGCTCGGATGAGAGGAGCTCCCTGGCCGCTTGGATGCTCATGTCTTCTGGGTTGGGGCCTTGCTCAAGAACAGCCGACAGCGCCCCGCCTTCAACCTGCATGGCCGCGGTCACTTTCCCAGCGTAGTTCTTCCAGACATGTACGATGTGGTCTTGGCAGGGCAGCTCGGCGAGATAGTTGACGAGGTCAAAGGGGGCAGTCATAGTGAATATCTGTCGTGCGGTGCTGCGTATGATGCTTTGATCGAACTGTGTGCTGAGTTGAGGATAGGTGTATGGTACAAGAGTTGGCTTGATTTTGTGTATCCAATATTGCATTTATAGAAAAGCAAAAGAGGGAATAGGAGTCTATTAATACTATAATATTTTTGGCGTATAATATTCCCATAAGGTTGGGATTTGCAGCGGTGGGCATCTGGATCGGACCAGTTGGTGAAACAATATCAAGTAAGTTCCTCACAATGTTGATAGCTAACAAAACTGTCAAATTTCATGCTTTGTTCTACCGTGGTGGGTAGTATAATTTGTGATTTTGACGACTAGAGTATAATGAACATTGAGGGATACCGTCTTTGTTCGAACCACGGATAGAGTGCACACACATTTTAGCCATCAAAAACAAAAGGTCAAGCTTGAACCAAATCAACCACAGAGGCCGTTGGCATCCATCGGTCTCCCGGTTTATCACAAATTACCCAGTCGAAATATGACAAGAGTAGAAGTGAAGAGACATTTGGAACGGTGGATACCTTTCCTACCAGGGACATGATGAAGTGTCTTGCCGTATGGAAGATCAAGTGATATGAGATATTGACAGAACATATGTACATAGGAAAGGATAGGTAGGCTGGGCATATATATCCGTGCAGTGAATAGTGGCGAATTCATAGGCTAACGTTGTAATGAGCTTCTGGCCGACTACAAAAAGTGAGAATTACGACGAGGCATGAACACGGTGCAGAATGGTCTTAGGTGCCAGGGGTTAGTAACAGCAGTACATTGTGTTCTAAACCAGTTCTCACGCGGGCGAGTAAGAATATACCCGCAGAGATGAGTCTTCTCCTGCTATCGCCAAATCCTTCGCTGCTGAGTTTGGCCTCCATGACAACTGAGCTACAGCTCTAGCAAGACCCAAGCTGCAAAACGTCAGTAATGGTACCAAGTTATTGTCGAACCAGGACGGTCACTTACTTCGGATCCAGAGCAACGCTGGACAGGACGGTAAGGGTCTCCGAGTCGATTGTATGAATTGCGATCCTTCCTTCCTCATTTCCAGATGCAAGCAGAAACCTACCATTCTCGTCTTTGCATGAAAGGAAGTCAACAGCCGTAACCGGGGCTGTGGCCGGTATCGAGGTTGCCAATGCAATTGTTTCATCAGACGGTCCCTTCTTCCAGATTTTTATTTGCTTGTCTCTGCCAGCCGTTGCGAAAACCACTGATTCCGTCTCGGGTGCCCATGCGGCGTCCAAGATCATCCTCGTGTGGCCCTTCGGGTTGGCTTCCAGGAGCTTATACCCTAGTTTGTTCTCATTGTCCCGCTCAAATACTGCCCATTGACGATCTCTACCAACACTCAAGAGATATCTGTCGTCTGCAGAGAATCTCAACCGGGTAGCAGTTAGAGTGTGTGCCGATAGGGGTGGTCTGACTTCTGTCCACTTCTCCGTCTCGAACAGCCGAATGACAGCGTGGTTTAGCGAACTGGCTTTGCAAGCGCTTGCAACGAGAGTGCCGTCGTGGCTGGCTGCCAGACATGAAATCTCGTAACCATGTCCGTACAGCTTCTCAACCTCAGGCCACAAAGTGTGCCGGGACAGACTATCTTCGAAAGGGGGGTGGTCTATTTCCAGTACGGATTTCCGTACTGTTGAGCCCGGATCGAGAGCTTCACGATCCTTCTCAGGATTCGTTGCCTCGATCTCAAGGTCATCGTCAACTGCGTCGATGGCCTTGTTTGAAAGGCCGAGTACAGGCATGTTCGCTGCATCTGGCATATGCTCGATTTCTGAGTCGCCAATATCACAAAGCCGGTCGAGGAGCTTCGCAACGGCCTTCGGCTCATTGAATACACGCATTAGCTTCTCATCAGCTCCTGAAACGAACTGTGACGATCCAATGGAGTCGATACAATTCAAGTCATAGCCATGAATCTGTGGCCTGGCCATCTCGTGCCATGTATTCTTGCCAGCTTCTTTCTTCCATTGGGCATGGAGGCGCGTGGTTTGATCGAGACTGGTGGAAAGAATGTACTCTCCGCTCTTGGACCACGAGATACCCGTTACGGATCTGACATGACCGCTTATTCCAGTGATTTGCACCCACTGAGACACATCTTTCTTGTAGTCCCACCGACGCCAGCTTCCTGTGCGACCGAGTGTGATCACTGTATGTCCATTTGGAGACCAGAGTCCTGTCCAGAAGCCCCCCGTGCTTCCCGTCGCGGTCGTTGCACCTTTCTCCCGACTGATCTCACCAAGGCGTACAGTGGTAACCCAGATACCCGATGTCAGATCGGCTTCCCATATCGCTAGCGTGTTGTCTGCCGATGTGGAGAGCAATTGTGATCTACCGCTTGCGTTGTAGTACCATTTAGCACTATAAATCCAGTCGTCATGCCCAAGTAGCAAGGCCTCAAATGTGATCGAGAAGTCGTTTTCGCCAGCCTTTAGGCGATACGCCTTGTTTGACGGCGATTTCCCAGGCAGGAATGTACCCAATGTCGGGTCATTACCCGCCGCGGACGGGGCAGGCAGTTCTGCGCCTTTGTGGAAACGCCATAACCGGATATACTTGTCCTGACTGGCAGACGCAAGAATCAAATCACTAGACGGCTCTACCGTCTCGAAAGCGAAATCTAAAGAGCGAACCCACTCTTCGTGACCTGAGAGTGTTGCTTGCAGCTCGAACTTGGGCTCTGATGAAGATTCGGCGACAAAGACCTGAACGATGTTCTTTGTTCCTGCCACCGCCAGTGCAAGGCCGTCGCCGTGAGCACTCAGATCGCTGATTGCTACGCAGAGTGGGAAGAGCTTGGGGTTTGGCTTGATGGTCTGCAGCAAAGTAACTTCGCCCCCTTCGAAGCGCCATATTTTTACCGAAGCATCTGCCGCTCCCGTTGCGAAGATGTGGTAAGGCCTATCTTGCAAGCTGTGAAGGACTGCAATGCAGTTTATCGGCCCAGTATGCTCCTCAATTGTCTTGATGCATGTGGCAGACTTGTCCTCGCCGATTTTCCAGACTTTTAGAATTTTATCATCCCCTCCAGACAACAGATATGAGTTGGCGTCATTCTCCACCTTGGGAAGAAATTTGACCGCCTTCACGGCTTCTGTATGTCCCTGTAAGAGTCTACTAACTCCCTGGGTAGCGTGATCCTGGAAAACATGTTAGTCTGTGCAATCGTCTTGTGGCCTTCTTTCTTGACTCACATCGGGCTGCCAGAGCGCAATATTGGAATCGGCTCCAAAAGCGACCAGGCCGTGACCGCCCCAATCTGCACCCGCCGTTTGCCTGTTGGCACCTACGGAAAGGTATTCAATGCCAATTTTGGCTTCACTCATTTCCGATATTGGTGTATAATAATTAATGTGAGAACAGCAAAGTTTTGTGAGTGACGAAAGAATGCAATGTGATTGGTTACTGAACCTGAAGTTTAGGTGAAGCTGCCATCAGCTGCTGGCGGTCCGACCTACGGAAGCAGGTGGCCACACACGATTGCATCTGTCCCACTTCAAAACGTCAACGATTATGTCCAATCAGCCTCTCATTGTTGTGATTGCTAAACCTTGCAATTACAAAGAGACTCATGAGAGAACTGGTAGGCGTTTTTATTTATTTATCGGCATATACTTGGCGCAAATACGCAGATGCCAACATTAGACGGTGATGCGAACTGCCATGGATGTGCCACGTGGTAATGGGGACTCGGATCTATGCGTATAGTCGTATGAGCTTTTAATCTTCTCAAACCGGAATCTGATGAAAAGATTGGAGGGTCTCGAGGTCATCAATTTTGATAGCGATGGGTCTTGAACACAAACGATTTACTAAGAAAAGAAAAAAAGGGAGTCAAGTATCCGGTTGTAACCGATTCACAGTGGACATTGTAATAATAGTGATGCAGCAGACGATCGAGGAGATCAAAAGACTAGTTGAGAAGTTTCTATGGTTGCATTGGGGAGAACAGCGGCTCTGATAGAAGCGACTGAGCTCCGTTTGTCTTTTCGGAGAAGGAACCCGGAATTAGACACGCATAGCGTTGTTAGCTTACTCTCTTAAATCTTTAGATGTCTAGATGTGACCGTCGCCCCCAAATGCTTGATTGCCGAGCTGACGGTTGCTGTCAAGAAACACGGAGTTGGTGTACCTGAAGTTTGCCTGCTTACTTTCGCGTTGACCAAGTCTATATAAGCTGCAAGAAGATACATGAAGAATGACACACGACGATGACTGGAGGTTATTACGACCAAGTGCTGGGTTGTTCAATGTATGAAGCAGAAGAAGACTTGTCGGGTCACATCTTCCTGTTATTCGTCAATTGCAAACGCATTCCTTTGTTGCCTATCGCATCAACTGTAGTTCTATCATGTTGTGCTGGTCTTTCAGATCATAATCCCCAATTCCCTAAGCACCCCATCGCCAGTTAGTCCACATCTGTAAGCTTGTCCTTGACTGCATCCTTCGCCGTGCTGACGATCTTCTCCCACTTGCTCTGCTGCTCGATCTCGTTGTTCGGCTCCGCGGGACTTCCGAGTCCACCACCCGGCAACGGCGCAGGACTGTCGGTACCGCTCCCTGGCATGCTGGGCACAGGGATGCGGATGTCTTCGGGACTTCCGGGCACCATCTTGGGATCCAATCCTGGAATTTGGACTCTCTTTGCCTCATTCTGGTAGGCAGCTGGGATGATCTCGATGATCTCATTCCTTGGAAACTTGAGGGTCGGGATGTCCATGGTGCTGCAGTGCATCAGATAGGCATACAAAACCCTCAGAACCGACTCATGTGCAATGATCAACAGGTCGTTCTGCTCGCGCTCCAACTCCAGAATGATAGGTTCCAGGCGGACAGCCAAATCATGATAAGACTCAGCACGGGGGTATCGGTGATGGTACGGGTCAAGGTCGTGCTTCTCGACCTCGTCAGGGTATAAACGACGGATAGCGCGCTCCGATAGTTTTTCGCACACACCAGGGTTGATCTGGGACATCTGGCTGCGTTGACGGACTTTGTAGCCTCGCTCGTAGAAGGGCTCAGCAGAGTCGATCGTTCGCTGTCGAGTACTAGTCCAGACCGTCAGTGGCTTCAAGGGCACATCTGGACCACCCTCGGCTATCAATGCTGCACGCTCCTGTTCACGGTGCTTGATAAGCGTTTCGGCCATGATCTTTGCGTACTCGTGGCCTGATTCGGAGAGGGGGGCGTCGGCCTTGTAGGAGTCCTCCTCTGTGGCAGCGCCAGCCCGAGCAAAAAAGGTGGTCCGAGATTTGATATGGGTGTTGGTTAGGTAGAAAACGATGCGGTGCGAGAGATAATTGAAAGACACGTTGTTGTAAAAGAACTTCTCTCCTGCATTGATCATCTTGATATAGTTGAGCTCAGTTTCGTTCATAGTTTCGAAGGTTGGGATCTTCATCTCTATGCGTCGGAGATAGAGATTTGCCGCTTCGTCAGCATCCATACCGTCGAACTGTTATCATTAGTGATTGCAAGAGATGTGAGGTTGCCAACTTACGTCTGGCGAGTTGATCTTGACATTTCTGGCGTTTTCACGCAAGATCTTCTCGTCGTTCACAAAGGACTCCAGGAACAGCGTCTAGAAGCGGAGTCAGCGAAGAGCGCATGTCATCTGACAAGATGCGTGGCAGCCCACCTGAACATCGTGCTTGGCAAACTCCTTTGCCAACGATCTTCGCCCACTTGCGGTCGGGTTGACTGCATCATAAATCGCAACTTGTCCGTTCTCGTGGTTCAGCCAAGAATAAATATCCTCCCTGCATTTCTTGAGGATCTTCTGGCGTAGCATGACAGAGGCCGGTGAGGCATCAGGAAAGAAATAATCTTCTGGCACATCCTTGTCATTCCCAACCGTAGCTCGTCTATAGTCTCCAAGATGGAAGATACGCGTCTTGACACCCAGCCTACCCCATGTGAGTAAAATGTTTGCTGCTAGGAATATGGGACACCATACCATTGCAAATATCGAGCCATGGATACGCAGACGTGACTAGCTAATACTTAGTGGTAATTCATCGAGCTCCTAGGTTGATTCTTACGTCTTGCCTCTGGCAGGAAGTCCGACCATTACTATCGCTATCCGACCAGAGTGGAACAGCCTGCCGGACATGGTGCTGTACAGCTGGGCCGGAGCCATATTCTTAGTGTCCTCGCCGGTATCATGGATGCCATCGATGAAAGTGCTGCTCTTTCTTCGATACTTCTCGTAGGTTAGTTTCACTTCGGTATCTAGGAGTCGGGCGGATTCTCCAAGATGCGATGCTGTCGCATGCTGGTACCAGTCAAGGCGGCAACGGCAGTCTCGGAGATGTGACACATTGACTTACCCGGGGTGCATTGGCAGCAAGCTCTGCAGTGCTGGTATCATTAGCCTCAGTCTCTGACGCAGCCTCACTGTCTGAGTAGCAGATGTCCCCCAGATGGACTTGACGGATCTTCTTGGCCAAGGATTTTGTTGGCGGTGAGCCGTTGGGAGCCGATGACAGCAAGCTCCTGGAGTTGTTCCGGGAGTTGGCGAGATCCCTAGCATGGGAGCCCGGGGACTGACTTCGGTCCGGAGGGAAAAGATGGAAGGAAAACGGGAGGTTTGACATGTTGATGGCCTGGTCTTGTAGAGATTTGGCATAGGGCTGAGGTAGAGATCAAGAAGTGCACAGGAGCAGTCGGGTGTCTTTGTCAGATGTGGGGAACAGCAGAGACATGCATTGATTGGGGTAAGCCGACAAGAAAATAAGAGTGACGGTAGAGTAGAAAAGAAACTCACAGCAGAGTATCCATGGTGATGATTCCAAGTGTGGCACCTTCTACTATTTTTGTCCAAAACAACGAGACCAAACGTTGGAAACGGGTAGCCAATCCCCGCTGAGCTCTTTCCCCAATGAGGCAACCTCGGCGACAAATTGTTTTTGTCAGATGGCAAACGAATCTGAACGTCTAGGGACACAAAACTAGATATACCCTGCTCGTGCCCAGAAGGTATGGTTCAGACGGGATGCAGAAGCAACTGATTGTGGTGCAACCAAACACGTTGTAGCCCAGGAAATGATAAATAGCACGAAGTGGAAAATGTCTCAATGCCGCGATGGCAAAGCTCAGCTCAACGCCCAAAGCACTGTGGATCCAACCCGAATACAGATTGAGGAAGTGTTATGCGTATCGTCAGACTGAATAGGCCCGACTAAACATGTGACATGCAATCCTCACACGAGAATCAGTTATGAGTAGCAATGTTGACGGGTGCTTTGTGTGAATACTCAAGGCCTTGCCGTTGTGAAACCTCAGCAGCTGCACGGCAGTAGGTTGTCGTGATGAAACCTTGGCAGGGTCTGGTAGATCTGACTGGATCCCAGTCGACTGCGATATAGTGAATACACGGCAAATGAGTTCTAGACTGGAATACTTGCGACCCCTGCAATGTATGTTCAGAAGAATTCGGAGTCTTGCAAGATGGTGGCAGCAGAGAGTGGGCGAGAGGGTAGGATGTCCTACGTTTCAGACAAGCAGACGAGCGAGACAGGGTGGCAAGGCAAGTTTATTGGTGTTTACTGCAGGCTTGATTGATATCTCTGTCTGAATGCTGGGTGGCGGAGTTCTCCCAAATCTGGGCGAGGAGGATATGACATAATTACAGCCTAAGCCTGAGCAGTCGAGAGACGAAATGCAAGGTTTTCGGTCACTTGCATGGCTAGTATCGGTATATGCAGTACTATGTAATGTCTGCTTAGAATAAGCAACTAACCTAGAGAACCACTTGGGCCAGAATAATGTCTTTATTGGTCGGGGCACATGGACAAGATTGCGTGTGATGTGCCCTCCCTCAACTCAAATCAGTATTATCACTGCACAGAAGGAATGCAACCAAAAATACGGAGTGGCAGGCAATGGCTCGTATGACGTCTCAACGCAGGATCCTGCTATCATCTTCACACACAAAAAACCACCAAAAGAACATACGTTATGTTATGTTATGTTCTGTTATGTGGTGGACGGAGTAGCTGTTGGTAAATTTCGACACCGATGGTCTTCCATTTATTGAGTGAGCACGGCTCCGTACAGCAGATAAGCTGCTGGACTAGCCAACAGCGACCTAGCTTGGAGAGCACCGACTGAATTGTCTCAAGGTTGCTTAGCGTCTCCCGCCATTCCCCATGGCGCCTGGTTCAGTGGTTCAGTGGCCCTGCTGGCGAGGAGCGGGTGCAATGGCTCAGCGGTCGGCGGTCGGTCTCTCGTCCTCTTGTCCCTCTTGTCCCTCTTGTCTTGTCCTCTCGTCCTCTCTTCCGTGCACGGGCCCGCCCAGATCCTTGCCAAAGAAATTTTGATTTCATCAATCGTGACGACTGAGCTCAGAAGCTCTCTCAAAAATCCAATCTTGGCCTCTGCTATTAGCCTCCTTACTGCTTGCGACAGCGACCACTCGCCGACGATTCGACGACAGTATCATCACGCCGGATCACTCACGAGGACCATCCAATACTGTGAAATAGGATCCCATCATCCAGGCAATCCACCCGTCTATCCTCATCCCAATCGTCAGCGCACCAACGGTCGCGATCCTCCACAGCCTTCACCATGGCCGCCAGCCCATTAGCCGTCCCCAGCTTTGAGCTTTCGCCAGCACCCTCTTCCTCCTTCGCTCCTCTCGCCGACAACCCCATTGCCCGCAGTCTCTCAAGCGCCTACAATGCCTTCTCGGAACGTCGCGCCAAGCTGGGCCTCACCAACCCCGGCTCCATCGAGGGTGTCGCCAGGGAGGTTCAGCGCGAGGTCTTCCTGACAAACTACATGCACAGCGGCATCAGGGCCGACCTCACCAAGGCCTTCAGTCTGTCGCCCCTCTTCCAGGTGTCGCATCAGTTTGCCATGGGCGAGCGCATGCAGCCTTATGCTTTCGCCGCCCTTTACGGCACAAACAATGTGAGTCTGCCTTGCACTCTGGCGCCACTCAACATCTCCTTCATGCAGACCCGGTCGCCCGTTCTAACATGTGCTTCTTCTTCTCCTCCCAGGTATTCTTGCAAGGAAGCATGGACAGCGATGGTTCGCTCTCGACGAGGTTCAACTACCGATGGTCCCCTGCCCTCGTCTCCAAGGCCCAGTTCCAGATTGGTCAACAAGATATGGCCCAGGTTGAACACGAGTACACTGGCGCCGATTTCACCTCAAACCTGACCATGCTCAACCCCTCATACATCGAGGGTGGCTTGACCGGCATCTTCATCACAAGACACTTCCAATCCATCACAAGAAAGATTGCTCTGGGTCTCGAGGCCGTCTGGCAGCGTGCCGCTCTCAACCAGCCTCCTGAGGCTGCTGTGTCCTTTGCCGGAAGATACAAGTCCGACGACTGGGTCGCCACCGCACAGCTACACGCACAGGGTGCCCTGAATGCTACCTACTGGAGACGTCTCTCGGACAAGGTTCAGGCCGGTGTCGACCTGACTCTCCAGCTTGTCCCTGGCGGTGCCGGCGGAATGATGGGAGGCTTCCAGAAGGAGGGTATCACTACTGTTGGTGCCAAGTACGATTTCCGCATGTCTACCTTCCGCGCCCAAGTCGACTCCAAGGGCAAATTGAGCTGCTTGCTGGAGAAGAGGGTTGCACCTCCTGTCACCATGTCCTTTGGTGTTGACATTGACCACCCCACTGTAAGTTGACTACATCCCTCGTCTGAACATTTCGAATCTAATCCCCTCTCAGCAACAAGCCAAGCTTGGACTCGGCATCACCATCGAGGCAGGTGGCGAGGAGCTGCAAGAGCAACAGGAGACCATGGGCGCTACATCTCCCAACATTCCCTTCTAAGCAGTGTTGCGGAATTGGCAGTAATCGTTGATCTGTCGCTTCTCGCTTCGGTCGGATCACCAGCACTGCCAATGGTTGCTTATGACGAGCAATCCTCCCAAAACTTCTCCTCTTCTGTCTTATTAAAATCCCCCCCTACTCGACATAAGAAAATAGGGGCGGGCTGCATCACATTATGACGATAGACATTTCTCTATACAGCATTGACGATGCGCTTGTCCGGCCAGCTTTGTTCCTGGGGGTTTATGACCAAATGCCGCCGTGGAAAGAGTGGGGCGCGAACGTGTATTATAGATTGGACGACACCTAGAGGATTTTGTGTAGCATCGCGTTCTCGGATTGGCACAGGGGTTGGAAGTCATCTGGCGTATCGTTTTAATCATGATGTTGAGGCATCTGACGGGACGGAGCGCCTGTGTAATCTACTTGGTTACTGTATATAATAGGTAGCCAACGCTATGTATAAAATTATGAAAGACCGACGTTATTTAAGAGCCGGCTTCGAGCCGATCTTTTGATGCACCTGTATCGAGTATTCAGGCTGCTCTTCAGAGGAATACCAGTCTGACGTCGAAGATGCTGAACATGGAATCAGGATTCATGTCTATGATAGAGTTGTCATATCCCTCAACGTTGGAAGATGAGTGGAATTCCCTCTTTTACCAGTATCAAAAGTCCATCTACTAAACAGAGCTCACTCGCATCGTACCATAACAACGGGCGGAGCTCTAGGCTTACAACCAAGGTCGGAGAATTTCTTGCGTATGCTCCCAGATCCTCCCCTGGGCCTTCTCTCGAAGTTGCGGCATCACTTTGGCGTTCGGAGTGCAGTCACACTTGTAATTGACGAGGAATAGTCCATCTGCCTGCTTCCCCAGCGAATTCAAACCTAGCTGGCCCTTCCATGGTACTCCGCGGCCTCCAAAAGCAGCGCTAGTACTTTGGAATAAATACCTCTGGCCAGACGACTCTTCGCTGAGCCCGAACCGCCTGATCAAGGGATCGACGAGAAGCCAGACGGCCCAGGCCCAGATGGAATTGGGATTCAGACCCCGCTGTACATTTCCCGTATTGACAATCCCCGGCCAAGAGTGGATAAAAGTCACGCCAGGATTCTGGCCGGCCAGCATTTCCAAAGTCGCCGTGTTCATGACTCCGTACAGCATCTGGCCATTCACACCACCAAAATTGCTGGGCTTTTGCAGCTGCAAGTCATCCAAGTCGATCGAAGCCCTCTCCAACCCGCCTGCCAAAACGCTGATTACCCTCGGGGCCTCCGCCTCGCGCAGGAGCGGAAGAAGCCGGAGAACAAACAGCACCCGCGAGTAGTACGAGAGGCTCTGACTGACCTCCAAGCCCTCGGCAGTCTCGGTGCGCGCGCCGTAGGGCCCATAGCCAGCGGTTAGGAACAGCAGGTCGACGCGCGACTCCCTGCCCCGGATGACCTCGCACACCCTCCTTGCTTCCGCGAGCAGCGAGACCTCGCCCGCGGTCCAGATGACCTCCGCCCTGGGGTTGTCGGCCCGCAGCTCTCGGGCGAAGGCGCTCGCGCGCTCCTCCGAGCCCTGCCGCCCCACGATGTAGATCCGCACGCTCGCGCCGGTGCGGGCCAGGGCCCTCGCCGTGGACTTTCCGATGCCCGACGTGCCGCCCACGAAGACGGCGACCCGTGGCGCCGTCGTGTCGTTGATGAGCGCGTTCGAGGCTTGGACTTCTTTATACGAGACCATTGTGGCCGGTGAGTGGAATGGATGATTTTAGCAATGCTGGGTCCGTCGATGAGCGGGTTGGCGCATGTGTTGTCGTTACGTATTATTCCGATTCAGCCCCCTTGCGCAGTCCTTATCGCTGAACTACAATGTAAAGGAGCTCAGGTCCAATTTTCGGATTCCTATTGAACTCACATATCTGCATTGCGGGTTTCGGCATGAGCTGCCCGGGCGTTTGGTCACATGATGCTGACTGCAAGCGCGGCGTTGGCTGTGGCGCGGGAATCCGAAATCCAGCCCCGCGGGAAACTATCATGGGTTCTAGGGCTCTTGACAGTTGTGTTTTGCAGTAAGTCGAGGCCGATTTCCGTCCCTTTGCCTGAGTGGTCGTTATCAGATGATGCATGAATGGCAGCATTGGCGTTTGCTAAGATCACTGACTCGTCATGTAATATAATGGCGACCTCTACTAGGCAATAGAGTCAAAACTACCATAGTTATGGTTGATTCTTGCTACTGATAATTAGATAAGAACAGTTTGTTTATTTATTTTATATATACTATAGATCACTAGCTCGATGATTAGATGGCATGATGTTATCAAGAACATTTATATATGTAATAGAAGCTATTCAGCAGTGATCAGCCTAGGTTTGCCGTATATTTATTAATTTTCTATGTAGTCACGTCTTGTTCCACAACTACGCAAACTTCAATCTGTGAATTGGCCTTTGTTCTCCTCAAGCCATTGGAATAGTGTGGTAGGCCGCTCTCCCGTGTACTTCTCAAAGTTGCTCAGCGCTTCCTCGTAGATGTCTCCTTGATACCCCTTATCATTTCGGCCACTCTCGGCCAAGCGCCTGTGTAGGCTGACCAAACCCTGTGCTGCCGACTCCGGCATGCCAAATCCATCGACGAACAGCTTCACTCCCTGTTGCTCGGACAATGCTACTACGGGAATCTCCTTACCAAGCACCCGGCCGATATCTCTCACAGCTTCCTCTTGCGTCGCCAGTTCGGGGCCGGTAAGATTGACGACATTTCGCCCACCCTTTGTCTCAAGCACTTGAGGCCCGGCGACAAGGAGAGCTCCACAGAGCTTGCCGATGTCCGGAGGCGCGATATAGCTAAAGACGGCCTCGGGGTACGCGATCCTGACCTCGCCTTTCTTCACCATATCCTTCCAGAGCATCACGTTGCTTGCGAAGGCTCCCGGCCGAACCGTGACGTAATTGGGGACTCCGAAGATCTCTTCGAGGGCGATCTCGACTTGCGCATGGGCCCACGCAACATAGTCGCCCTGCGAGACATTCCTCAGATCGCTTTCTTCCGTGAGGGACAGACTGCTGTTGAAGACAACGAACTCGATACCGGAAGACTTCAGCGCCTCGACGGCAGGCCGCATGGGCTTGCCGAAGATGAGGTAGAGGAACGCGCGCTTCGCCCCCGTCTTCTCGACGGCGGCCTGGATGGTCTCGGGCTTGGTAAGGTCGGCGGAGACTCTCTCGAAGCCCGCGCTTTGCTCCTTCTCAGGGCTCAGGCCTGGGATCGCTTTTTTGGTATCTCGCATGGCGAGTGCGACCTTGGCACCTTTGGCCTGCGCAAAAGTTGCCGCTGCCGCCGCAACCTGGCCGGTTGGGCCGAAAATAATAATATTTTCAGAAGCCATTATAGCGAAGAATTATATCAATGCATCAACTTGGAAAAGCAGTATCAACGAGGGTAACATGGATCACTTATACCGTGGTGTATTAGTGGATCGGCCTGTTATAGCGTGCGTCATGGTTCGTGCTTCGGTTTACGAGGTTGTCCGCTATGATACACCACTCTTGAGTGCTGACCTCATTAGTAATTCATCCGGCATGAGCAAAACAGCGAGAACTGCGACTGTCCGAAAGACCCCGCATATTGGTAATACGAATGTCTATGGCACATATCATCAACGAAAAGCGTCGCCCGCGCCATGATACCGCGCTAAGAAGTTGAAGGTTCTGTGCTGCTTTGCGCTCCAAGCTATACGATACACAGCACACGCGTATTAGTCGGCCACAACTGATCTTTAAATGCTTAGCTTTTCCTGTGAATGAAGTCATACTAACAAAAATTGCACTGATACAGACATGGACTGACTGGCCCCGACAGAGTACAACCTCAACTTCTCGGGATACAACTATTGGTATTCTGGTGTGCCATTGATTGCCCCGCCCGCCAATTCACACAGACAGCATGATGGTATAATGTCAGTCCTTTAAAGCACCTTTGAAAGCTACGGGAGTAAATCCTGTGATAGTAATTACCTCGAGGCGAGCTTTTGGTGGGAATTATGTGCACAATGCGACATTGGTTCTGCACTGCTTGTCTCGGTGGCAGTGCCTTCCAATTCATTTGCAGTCCTCCGCGCGCATGCTGCTCAGCCACCTCACATCGGCCGCAGCACCCTCCAATCGGTTGTACGTGCAGCCAAACTTTTGAGGTTCCTTTCCATTTCCTCGCGCACTAGTACCTATATATCTATCTATCTATGTAGCTATAGTTGAGTGGTGAGTTCGGTACCAGAAAGCTTCTGACCTATCCACCTTTCAATTGACCACACCATTAGAAGAGATGAAGGGACTACGAACGATCTTCAGCAGTCTCAGAATACCCATCGAAAACGTGGAAGACAGCCAAGATGTATACACGCGCCTTTCTAACCCTGGTGTGTTGCTGATGTTTTATTTCAGGAAGATCCACGCGTCCTATCGCCATCTTTCTCAGCAATCCGCAGCTCGCTCAAGCGCTCCGTCAGGGTTGCTTCTAGACAAGTTTTGACCGCCAATGGGCTCTGCCGACAATGCCAGGCGCTTGATCTTCAGAGGTCATACGATGAGGCAGTAGAGTCTGGCAAAGACCCGGGCCGAACGGGAGGTTTCCTGGTCTGTCCGCGCCAGCCTGGGTCTTTTGAGCCTTCTTGCAGGATCTGTGCACTCTTCGCAGAGCAATCCATCGCCACCCAATTCCGGGCTTTCCCGGTCATGCCTTTTCTCGGGCGACAGTTGCAAAGCGTGCTATCGCAGCCGTTGGAAGGGAACCTCGGCCGTGTCTCTCCAACGAATGATTACTTCCTAGCCTGTATACCAGAAAAGATTCTTCAGAATCAGGATCGCGATGTCAGAATCGACTCGTTGGTGGCCAAAACGGGTTTCTTCTGTGGCAGCCCCAAACAGGGACATCTGAGCCGCGTGTTGTAGTGAGGGAAGTGTCTCCCCGGTTTGACGCCAAGATGGTGCAGGGTTGGCTGCATGAATGTCAGACATCTCACCCGGCCTGTCTTCCGCATGGGTCATCTGAACATCTCGTCAAGTTAATCGACTGCTCAACTCGTCGAGTCATCTCAGTATCTACCCTAGATACGACGCCCGAATATGTTGCTTTGAGCTATGTATGGGGAGAGCACATCCCTAAGCCCGGGGATGGCGACGGAGACTCAAATGCAACGGCTCAAGTTATAGAAGATGCGCTCTCTGTGACCAAGAGTCTGGGGCATCGTTATTTATGGGTGGACAAGTACTGTGTGGATCAAGATGACAGCTTCCAGAAACATGAACAGATAATGAACATGGACTCGATCTATGAGAATGCCTCCCTCACCATCATTGCAGCTGCGGGACTTGATCACTCGCGGGGGCTCCCTGGCATCTCGAGCAACCGCCTCAAAAAGGAGATCCCATTTCAGCATGATAATTTTTCCCTCTCTTGGATCCCCCCATCTCCACATAAAGAAATTCTCGAGTCCCGCTGGTCGACGCGGGGATGGACGTATCAGGAAGCCGTCCTTTCCAGGCGGCGACTGGTGTTTACGGATCGGCAGGTGTACTTTGAGTGTCGCTCGATGGCGTGCTACGAAAGTTTGCGTATTCCGCTCCAGGATCTGTTTCCCTCCTCAGTCGACATTTTCAGACTGCCACAAATCTTTAGCTCATCACATCTGAAAAGCACGGTATCCGCATCCTCAGTTGCCCAGGCTGCACAAGACACCGAGGACGAACAGCTGGTCCCCCGCGATTGGAAAATGTTCGCCTTCAACGCATACACGAGATGTGCAGAAAGATATTCCCAAAGGACTTTGACTTTTGAAAGTGACTCGCTAAACGCATTTGGGGGCATGATCAAGCGTTTCGAGTCGTTGGAACAGGGTACACTAAGACATTTGTGGGGTATCCCTTTCTTCGACCCTCGCGACGATCAGTCACCAGATGATATCGTAGACTACGCGGGATTCTTGTTGGCAGGACTATGTTGGAGACATGAATCTAGATCGAAATCATTGCGAAGACGCAACATGTTCCCATCATGGTCCTGGACAGGGTGGGAGGGTGCCGTGACATGGCCTAAAGTAGATGCTTCATTTGAGGTTCAAGCATCTGATCTCTACACTCTAAGTAGTATACAACTCTCCTTTGAAGATGGATCAACGCGCTCGATCCCAGACGTACGAGATAAGAGACCCGGTGGCGACAGACTGGGCCAATATCCAAAAGCTCTCCTCTTACAGACGTCTGCCGTTTCCGGCTATGCCTTTCCGTTCAAGGGTCCTTCTTTGACGACGAATCAAAGTCCAGAGTACACTTGGTATCCCAGTGTGGCTGACCTCGATGTGGTGCGAATGGTCCAACAGCTCCAAAGCGGGGATCTCAAAGCCCTCCGCTTAGGCATTGTAGGCAAAGTCGGTTTCTTGCTTGTCGTCAAGAAGCGAAAGAGTTCGTTTTACCGCGTCGGACTGATACAGGTTTGTAGCGCTCTTATAACTGAAAGTATTCAGACTCATCAAGTCAGAGCTTTCAAGATAAAATAACATTCAATACTCATGATGATTGGATGGTAATATATACATGTGTACTGCTACGAAAAGTCGTGAAAGAAAGCAAGAATAAAGGTGGAGGTTTTTTTTTTAATCGGGCTAAAGATGTATACCTGATAATAGATAGATACCCCTAGTTGCTCAGCTGCGGCTATGAATAATTAAGTTACCTTAATGCAGCCAGCAGGTACTGTGTGTGTATAAATGAACCAGCCCCTGCAAGCTCTATCAAAATAACCAAAGCTCTCCACGCGTTTGCAATGCAAGCCTTTTGACCCCCCGTAGTGGCTGATCAACAGTTAGTATTTGTTTGGAATGGGTTAACTCGTACATAATTCAGGCCCGCCGATACTTAAAACCGCGCGCCTCGGTCGGAACGTGGAAATGCAACTCGATTTTCCCAGTCATTTATTCTCCATGGAATCTTTGCTTTGGTCACCTACTGGCTGGACAAACCTGACTTCCGTCTCAATCATAACTAAGCTCCATTGACTTGAATTGGCGTGATAGCGAGATACTGCTCATGTACTCTGTATTGTGCTCGCGAACCAGCAAAACAATAAACTTTTCACCGTACAGTATGAATATCGGAGGAGAGAAAATAAGATGTCTTTGCTACCAATGAGGAATATAAAACCAGCAGACTCCCCGCACGTATTAATCTCTTTTCCCCTTGAAAATTATGTTTCGAACATTCTTCTAAGCACCCCATGATATTCCAACGATCGCGCGATTCCAGAATCATTCGCTTGCAGCCCTTCTACGATTGTGGTTGATATACAGATCGTAAAAACGAGGCCTTACGACATGGCTAACTTTGGTCTTGTGGTGTCAGGCGCCATTCTTCTAATAACTATGTATGCCGTTAATACTCTGGCGGTTGCTACTTTGTTGTCCGTGGCGGCTGCTGGTACCCCTACCGTGATGAAAGGCTTTGAGGATAGCGTCAACTTGTGGAGGGACAGGTTGCTGCCACCAACACCCGTTGACCAGGAAGCTAGCCCCGATACCGTCACTCACCCTGACGTCGACAGCCTCCTCGCCGATGCCGAAAGCCTCGGCGAGCATGGCGGTCGTCTATGCCGCGTCAAGGTGGATCCTTTGCCCGTGGCGTGCTGGGACCTGAAATTCGGAAGGCCGGCAGCTTGGTGCAACCCCGGTAATAGCTGCCCCGTGAACTGCCCTGGGCCTTCTAACCTTTTGGACGCCAAGGAGGCATCATACTACTGGACTGCTAGTCTTCAATGCTACGTCAACCTAGACTTGGTTGAACCCTATAAGAAAGGGGAGATAGCATAAACAATGTTTTCGCCCAAAAAGAATTGTTTGTTGACTTTTCCGTAACCAGGGTCGGATTCGTTCGACTACGGCCTATGGATGTTCGCGGGCGGTACTTTGGAGATAATCGTGACCAGCAACACGTCTCTAGTGCTACAAAGGACTCTGCAGCCTCTCCGCGAAGAACTGCATGATGGAGAGCATTTCTTCCCGGCTGCCAGGCATGCCATCATCCGGCTTGTTCCACTTGACCTCCCTGGCGTCGGCGAACTCCTTCTTCACCAGCTCCACAGCCTCCTCATCGAGCAGCTCGCTCGCCCGGCCATGGCATATCAGGGCCGGCGTCCGCGCCTTCTCGCGCGCACTCAAAGTCGGCACCATGCTCATCGGCAGCGGGCCCCCGATCGACACCGCGCCCTTGAAGGCCGTCTCAGCCGGCCGCTCCCCCTGCGTGACGTCCACGACGCGCCCGCCCCCGCCGCGCAGCCGCGACGCCAGGCCCAGGGCCAGCGACCCGCCCTGTGCGTAGCCGAAGAGCAGGATGTCGCTCAGGTCCCAGCCGCACGCCGCGACCAGGGTCTCGCGGATCAGCTTCCCCAGCACCAGCTCCTCGGCCTTGGCGAAGCCGGGGTCCGGGTCCAGGTCGCCCGTGTCGGGCGACAGGGTCAGGTCGTCGCCCCAGTGGAAGTGGCTGGTGGGGGCGGACCCGTCCGGGAGGCCGAGGAGGGCGGGCGGGAGCGGGGAGACGCCGCGGACGGTGATGGCGAGCACGCCCGGCAGGGCGACGGTCTCGGCGAACCGAGCGAAGTTCCTGTCCGAGTCCCCGAGGCCGTGGAACACGATCAGGATCGCCGTCGTCGTCTCCGCCACCTCCGGGTAGTTCAGGATGAAGCTGAGTCCGGGACGGAGGTGCTCGAAGTCCTCGGGCTTGGGGATCCGTGGCGGCATGGTTTTGATGTTTTTCTGTCTTTGCAGTTGGTTTCAGGAAGAAGTAATACGAGGCGGGCTCAGAAGCCGGCAGGAATTATATCGGCGCTTCTCAACTTCAGCTGCGCAGTTCGTGTTGTGCGTTGTTTGCGACTGTGGCGAAGTGATGCGAGGAGGGAAAAGAAAAAAAGTCCATGGCCGCTGCTGCTGCCGTTCATCGCCGGTCGTTAGGGGTTCCGAGTGGGGCTGTGTATGCCTCCGCTCACCGGACCAGCTGTCGGTATCAATGCCCATCATCTTTGAGAGCCTTTCTTTCTTCAAAGCAATCAGGGCGATCCGTCCTTGTTATGCCATTTACAACAGTGTGAACCATTCTGTGTAGCTGACATTTTCTCGCATGCACAAGGCACAGTGAGTTTCTCTTTCTATTCAAATCATGAGAACCACAAAATCAATGTCGAAACTCGGTATAGCAATTTCAATTTTTTCTTATGATCAATACCAAACTGCTATAGCAGCCTAGTCAATGAGTATACTTTGACCACTAGTGGCATCTACAGCGCAGAAATGATCGTACAAGCAGTAGTATTATTCAACTATCGATTAACAATTTGAGTAGCTAAAGGTGTAACAAACTCGCAACTCGATGTCTACCCTGAGAAAGTTTGATCAGCGATAGTCATTGACGACGATGAGTCAAGAAAAGCAGTTTCGATCGCAGAAGAGGAAGGCGATTGAAAACATGGCTCCAGCTAGCCAGCATCTGAATGGCAACGGGTTTACGACAGATTAGTTCCTGGGCCAATGCATAGCTCGGACGAATCTCTTGACATTGAACTACCTAGAGGATCTTGGGCTATTCAGAAAGACTCAGTCAGGTATGTGGCGACCTGTTTTCAAAGATACGAGAGCAGCGACAACTTGATACAGGTACCATTTCAATGACTGCCCATGTCAACCAGGTTAGGTTCATCCAGAGTCATGGTTCGTGCAGTTGATGAGCCCAAGATCCGTTTCCTCATTCGATAGCCTCATGATAAATTCACGCGATTCATTCCGTTCAGCATGAGTTACGTTCAGTTATGCTGCGCTGTGCACTCAACCCTTCAATTGCTCAATGGGTGTGGACGAGAAATGTCCGATGAGGCGAGTTTTTGTGAACGCCACCGATGATTCAATACTTCAAAAAACGAACTTGGATATAGCTATGCTCGTATTGATTTAATCGTACTCGATATGCACCCACTGCGCCACGAAATATGCTGGTGGATGTTGTGGTGAATGATCCATGGTATCCCGGGCAGAGATGAGCTTTTCGCCTCCCATATCTGTATGGGTCTTGATGATATGTAGGCATTGCTCTGTGTGGCATATCCATCCCAAAAAGTACCATGGCTGCGAGTATGGAGGCCACACTCGGCTACACCAGACATTTTTGAGCGAAAACTCCATCTCCTGAAAGATCGGGCTGTTGCACCGACGTAGGTGACACCCTTTTTTCGAATAGTCGCCTCTTTTCGTCTTGAAGTTAATGGCTTGGCATTGAGATCGTCCCGTGTCAGGGGTCCGAGCTGCCGTTCAAAAAAAGCAGTGGTGCTTATTCTTAGAAATATGCTGTGACAGGTCACAGGCTATTCACGAGTCAGCTACGATACCTCCATGTCAGCTGCAGAAGATGTTTCAAGAATGCTGACCAGCTCCTGTAGGGAATACGGGAGCGAGGTTGCATGTCTCGAAAGCCGAGCACGTGTTCTTCAACTATGTTGAAAGAATGTTGCTGCCATTTCCACTTGATGTTAAAAAATAATTTAAAAAAAGATTTCACGATCCGGCGTAACACTAATGGCAAGTGCCGATTTTGGTGCCTGTTTCTGCTTAATTAGGCACATCAGCGGCGGGCGGGATGTCTTCGCGCCCGCTCGGCCAGAGCCATTGGCTCCCAGATGGCGACCGGTCAAATGAGCCAGGTACAAGGCGCACCGCGTTACCGATTTGCGTGCACCGTCAACAAGACTACCGCCTGTGGGCATTTGAAGCGTGTTTGCTATTGCGTGGCGAGTCGAAGATGATTAGACGAGAGAGATGGCGAACAATCTGTAGTTTGCCGACCATGATAGCTCTTGTGTGCGACGGTCGGATCGCGTGATGCAACGGCCAAAGAAACGCATGTCCAATGAATCTGCGACATGCTCACTGCTTTCAGCCAGTCAGAAGGCTGGGGATGGCAGCTTTCCTCGGAGCATGGCACATGCAGTCTGCAGATGCTGGGTAGCCACCATATTCATTTTGGAGAATCCCCCAATGTGGCGTTTGGAATAAGGGGACCGCGTCTAGTTGCCCAGAGACACATGCCATCTATTGGCTGCGGACAACGGCGCCGTTATGCTCGAAAGCAAGCTCCAGGAACCACAGATTGGAATGGGCAAATGCGCGAGACATTTGATTTGGAGGAAAGGCGAGAGCCAATCCTGAGGGTTAGGGGTCCCTGAGACATTGGCCAACGCCGGTGCGCAAGGTACCGCGTCACAACCACTAGCAGATAGTATTTCTAGGGGTCAGTTCCTCATTGTTCGTACACAATAGGGGCCGCAGGAGCAGGAGGGGCAGGAGTAGAGAAGCTCCAGATCCAGAAGCCAAGGAAGTGCTGAAATCTGAAAAGTGTAGGCATGGGACAGAGTAGGCTCTTGAAAGAGAGAGCCTATTGTACATACCCTATCAGGCCTGAGGCTGAGGACACAATCAGAGGTGGAGTTTGGTTGAGATGAATGAACAGTGACGTGTGTACAACAGGGATCGCCCATGCGTGAATGCATCAAAAGCCTGAATCTCCGAGTTTGCTCCCAATCAGATGTCAGCCGCCAATTTGGGCTTCAGCAGCGACGTTAAAACCCTCTCAGCCTTTTTTCCCATGAGCCGACGCGCATTGGCTGTCACTGCACCTTAATCCTTTTGCATGACGCTATCACGTTTGCCTGGCGATTGCAGTGTGCAGCTCCATCATTGTTTCGACACGGACAACACGCGCGTACTTAGTATGGAACTATAAGCAAGCTCGTTGGGTCTAGAGTATACAGCAGTCAGTAAGTAGTACTGTAGCTTTGCTCGGGAATAGCTCTAGCACGTCCGGCGCTATGCCAATATGACAGCCGGGCATTGGTATGAAGCTTGAGAGTGTTCAACAGTTTCCGACACATACATACACAGAGGCACCCGCTCGTTGGTTTGAGTGGGTGCTCTACTGGCGAGGTGGAATGCAGGTGTCGAAAGGGCAATGCAGGTGAGATTAGGGTAGTTAGCTATCTATGTACAGTATCAGTCAATCATGGTCAATATTAAGGGCAGGGTCTACATAGCAGCCATGGCAAGTCATGGGGTGGTTTCCCCCGATAAAGCATAGGAACCCCCAATCTTGCCCCTTGCCCCTTGCCCAGGGCGTGATTGCAATCGCAATGCGCATTTAACCATCTCCATTTCCTATCCCCCCTGCTGCATTGTCATTTCCCCCCAGTAAATAAGTAAGGCCGAATTTGTAGGGGCCCGCGCCGCCGCTGGAAAAGGAGATAGATGGATAGATGCTTGGAGATTTACACCCTGGCACCTATACCGATCGGTTTCAAACAAACAACCAACAAACGAACCTTTCGATAAAGCAGAGTAAAAACGAAGAAACAAAAGACATATTGCCGGGTATCGATTCCTCGCTCCAAAAGCTTGAGATTGTATCATCTATGGTTCCATCGTTGAGTCCGCCGGCCTCCTGTGTTCCCTCGCACTAGTCGGGCGGTAGAATTGAAGGAAGAAAGTTGAAACCGGGACTGTGGGGAAAACGTACCGACGAATGCGCACCTGGGCATGCCCGCGGGATGAATCGAAGCAGGAAACGGCCTGTTTATTTTGTTTTATTTGTTACGCGGCCACTCTGAGCCCAATCTCGCACAGGTCGAGTCGGTGAGATTAGCTCTTTGCAAAGACCAATGCCGGTGTTGGTGCTCCGTCCTACAGTAGGTCTAACCACGGTTGTTATTATTCAACAGCTTCAGCAGCTACGGGGTCTGTAAGTATTGTGCGTCCCTGAGAGGATAGGGGATGCTAGCACCGTACGGGGGCCGCATAACCAGGCTAAGTAGGCTAACCTCGCAGACTAATAGGTACTGCACTTAGGTTGCTTAAGTACCTAGCAGAGCCGGCCTAACTCCACCTCTGACGACCCCATTTCTAGATTCTGGTTCTGATTCGACTCATTTTCCCTTGCTAGAAGCAGAAGCTCTGCCGGACCGTCACTTCATTTTCACAACTGGGTCATCCTGAAAAAAAGACACAAAGGCATTGATTGATAGCAGGGGCTCCCGCCAACGATTCTTCTTCTTTTCCTTCTTCTGCTTCTGCTCTATCGCATCGTTCTTGTTTCTTTCGATTGCATCCTCGCTCGTTCTCGTTCTGGGGGAAGGGAAAAGGAAAAGGAAAGGACAGGAAAGGAAAGGAAAGGAGAGAGAGAGAGAGAGAGAAAAAAGAAGAAGACCGTCACATTCGTTGCATCGACAGCACTCAGTAACCGGCGCTCGCTCCTCAGTTCTGTCCGTAACGTAACGCAGCGCAACGCCCTTGACTAACACATCACCCACCCCCTTTCTATCTATTGAGCAACACCCACGTCTTGGCGACTGCCAACCCACCACCAAGACCTTGCGACGATACAACACGGTTCGGTCAACAAAGAGGACTTGTGTTTTGAGCGCCAACCCAGTCTTTGTTACATTCGTTACTTGCGACCTGCTTCCATTTCCCAAACCATCCACCGCCCGCTTCTCCGAGGTGAGACTGCGCTGGGCATCTCCCTTTCGAGAACAGCAGCTCCCATATCCGACGGGTGCAGCTCGACTTGCCCACCATGGCTGATTCGTAAGTTGACTCCCGTCCCCAGCTATGCCGGCACGAGGCACTGACTTGAGTTCGACTGCAGTATAGGATCCGTTTTCAAGTCCTTCTGGCACACCATGACCAGTTATGATAGGCGTGAGTACATCCCTCCCCCCTCCCTCCAGTCCTTTGTCTTTTCATGCACTTGCACTTTGTGCTGACATGCGTTGGTTCCCCCGCCATAGACTCCAGCTACGACTCGCCATACCGCTCGGGAAGACATATGCCTCTGAACAGGCAATCCACCCTCACGTCCGTTGCAACAGCTTCCGAGTCCCGCGCCGACGTTTCATCCCCCTACTTTGGCGACGAGACGGGACGGTTATCGACAATCGATACAAGCACATCCTACATGGGCGCAGGCATGCCCTCTCCGCTGGCGAGTCCTGGCGGCCCATACTCACCCGGCTTGCGGTCACTGAACGCGAAACAACAAAACTCCGGAAACGATGGCTTCGAGACCATTAGCAGCCCAGGAGAGATCCCCATGCAATCCTTCGCAGACGGTCCTCCTGCCCCTCCCGTCAGCCACTCGTGGAAGCGCATCGACAACTGGGCCGAGGAAAACTACCCCGAACTGTGGGACCAACTCTGCGAGGGCGCTACCAACAATGACATGAACGAATTAGAACACCAACTGGACTGCTCCTTGCCTCAGGATGTTAGGGACTCTCTGATGGTCCACGATGGCCAGGAGCGAGGTGGCACCCCGACAGGCATCGTTTTCGGCTCCATGCTTTTGGACTGTGAGGAGATCGTCCAGGAGAGGGACCAATGGTTGAGGGTGAACCAGGAATACTTGCTTGAGACGCAGGTCGTCAAACCTGCTGTTCCTTCCAAGGCATTTGGTGGCAGCAACCAGGCTTCGTCGTCGAAATCCACCCCCGGCTCTCCCTCGGGCAGCCAGAGTTCGACCTGGAGACAAGATCTCATGTCCAAACAAGACTCGGTCCCCGCAGGTGCTGTCCAGAGGGTTTACGCCCACCCTGCGTGGATTCCGCTGGTACGGGACTGGGGCGGCAACAATCTGGCAGTCGACCTCGCACCTGGCCCGTCCGGCACATGGGGCCAGATAATCCTGTTTGGCCGCGACTACGACATCAAATATGTTGTCGCTCGTTCGTGGGCCCACTTTATCGCCATCGTGGCAGACGACTTGAACAGCGGCAGGTGGTATATTGACGAGGACTCGAATGAGCTGAAGCTGCGTGAATTTAACACAAGCCGCGTCGAGCCGGCTTATTTCGACATCTTGAGATGGAGAATGGATCAGAAGAACGGCCGCGGTGCCAAGGCTGCCGCTAAGAGAAGATCAGTTGGCCCTCGAGGAGCTGCCTCCCCTACGAGCTCCCCGTACGCTGGTCCCGTTGACGCAAATGTCAATGGGGAGGCTCGCGGCAGGACTCTGCAGAGGCTCAGCAGCCCCTCACCACTCACCAGCCCCATCCGACCAGGCTACGGCAAGTCAAGTCCGCTGGCTAGGGTCACCGAGGAGTTGACGACATCCGCCTTGACCGCGGCACCACTGGACACATCTGGACTCCCAGCCAACAAGCTTGTCGAAATCGAGACCCCGCGCCCCAGCGAAGAGGCCAAGTCTTCACCAACGGGTAAGCTTCCGAATGGTGATGCTAATGGCAAAGGCAAGGAAAACGTCAAGGCCGATGCCGCCGCACTGAGTGGCACGGCTACAGACGAGGTCGAAGAAGGCATGAAGACAATCGAGATCTAGTATACCGGACATGCCGGACGGAAAAAGAAAAAAAAAGAAAAAAGGGCAAAGATCCATCAGTAGGGGGGCTCCGCGGCCAAAGCCAGTCGCCAGCTATATTGGTCACATTCTTGAAAATGGGCATTTTTTCTGATTAATTCACATTAGACGCGCTCCTTATACGCAGTCACTGAAGATTTCATGTCAACGCTTTGGAGGGTACTGCTGCTGCACATGGCCATAATTCGCAATGCCCGTCGACAGTGTTTTGGAAGCATAGAGCATCAAGGATTGATTTCTGTTCTTGTACTAATACTTGTTTTATTCGCGGTCGCATACCTGCTCAGAAGGGATCGCGCAGCATTATGACGCAGCGCATAGCACGCCGATTTGGCATGTTTCGTTTGAGGGCAGCCCGAGCAATGCGCCAAATGTTCAGTACGATACCGAACAAAGAGTCGTTTGATAGCCACGATACTGTGCGTGGGGCTGTATCACCAGGCAATGAATTTGGAGCGAATGAGTTATGGTATACATCGTAGTGGCGTTTAGGGAGTAATTGAGCTTATACACAGGCGTTGAAGCGGTAGTATATAGTCTTGGCTAGGCTGCGAGACGTAGAGTGGTACATTAAAGGAGATCCATCACGGAGGGATGCCGCGGAAAAGGGACAGGTATGAGGAGGCTTCAGAGTCGACAATACAAATTTATTTTTTTCCACATGAGACCTCACAGGATATAGTGGATGTGGAGGACTTGTTCTGCCATCCAGCAATATACAAAGATTTTAAAAACGAAACAGACTGGTTCAAACGCGGTGTGATTGGCCAACCAATTGTAGATGCACGACTTGGGAGATTTCTCATGTCACACAGAGCTTTTGCTTGACCGTCGTTTGTCATCATTCTGTATCTTACCCTGACGGTCCTGCTCGCAATCCTCGGAACACTATACTGCAAAAGACCTAGGCAGAACACATGAGCTAACGCATGTCTGCTGCCCGGTTAGTATATTTCAATGTCGTTGCCGACACGGGAGTGCCTACGTGCCAACCACCCCCACGTCATGATCTGTCCAGAGACCACCTGGCGATTGTATTTGGACCCGACCAAGCTGCTTCGAGCCTGTGCTTGCCCCCCAGTCGTGTAGTCGTGGAATCGGGCCGGCAATGGAGCCAACTGCGGCATGCTAGAGAAACACTGCGAGGGTCTACGCAAACGGTGAGTATATTTAGGAGCGTTAGCTCTGTTCCGAGATCTTCATCATCGAAAAGATCCGTTCGTAAAGTAAACCAACCCAAAGCAGGTCCTTGAGCCAAGAGCTGTGCAGGGGCGGAGGACCGCGTTTTGTTTCCGGTGATGAGCTCCGGATAGGAGCCGAGCATGCTTGGTCTCCGCCGTTATGGGGTGGACATGACACAGCTCGGTAGGACGGAGGTAGTTCCAAAAAAAGGAGCAGAGTAAAGCTAATTGTACAAGTCAAGTCATGAAGCCGGGTGACTGGGAGCGCAACCAAGGTATGAACACTGTTGAAACCAGAAGGACAGTTTTCCCGGGAGACTCTAGTGGTTGTTGGGACCTCCTAGACCTAGAACTCTATCATCAGACGGAGAAACTCTCTGGCACCTGCTGCAGTCTTCATGAAGTCATGGGCCAAGGCGGAGGCAGCATCGTTGGAAAAGGAGTATATTTGTGCTGCAAAGCAAGAAAGAATGAAAGGAACAAGCAGGTAGAGAATAGAAAAAAAAATTGAGGCGAGGCATATGAATCTGAATCTGATGAGTGCATTCGTCATCTGCAGACACGTCAACAACAAGAGGACGAAAAAGCGGTATCATACAAGTCGACGAGAGAGGCGTAGGAGAGAACATGAACACGCGAGGTGTGAGAGCGTCTTGAAACTGCGCTTGGCGTCAAAGGCACATTGCAGTTTTTTATGATATCAACTTGAGTCCCCTACTGCCCGTTCTATAGCCTGTTCCGTTGTGTACACATGTCGCAATTGACATGTGCCGTCGGACGGAGCCCAGGACTTCAAGTCGGGATAGACTTTTACCACCCTCCTACCAGGCAGGACAGGCTCTATTTCAGTCGGCTGGCTCAATTCGAATTTGAGGTGACTACCTAAGTCCGGTCCCGTCATTCGGTATAAGTCCTCTGGATAATCCTATTCTGTATGTATGTTGAGAAATTGGGTTGGGGAAGTCAGAACGAATTGGCTCGTGCTCCAGCTCGAGATACCGAACATGAAGAGACCAAGTTCTGGATGGCGAATATACAAACTCACTTCCTGACAAGCCATGACCCTGAGCCCATGTGGCCATTTTGAATCAATCGCTGCTATTAGTCGGGTGTCGAGGAGCTGGTCCCTATGTTTGCATAAAGGCACAGGGTCCGTGTATTTGTGCACTGGCTCCACGTGATTCTCGGCTGCCTCTGCCTTAGCGTGCCAAGGCCGGAGTCGTCATCAGCCTCAACGTCCAAAGTGCGAAAGGAACAGCTATTCTAGAGCTTCAGCCTGCTTCCCGACCCCGGAATACCTACGGAAACCTCTTGACGACGAAGACGAAGACGAAGACAAAGACGGAGGCGGCAACTTCACACTAGCAACTCACACCCCGCGGCAAACCCCCTTCCTCGCTAGCTAGCCGGAGAAGGAATCAACCACACCAAAGCAAAGCTCGAGCTCCTGCCAAGCGCGCATCGAGATAGAGTTGTTTTCGTACGTCGCGCCTTGTCGTCGACGAAATACTCCCCCGCTGCATCGCATCTCGGATAGGCATTCCACACGCGCACACGCACACACGCAATGGAGGAGGACCGCCTCTGGAAGTTCAGCAGGCCCGAATGGCTTAACAGCGCCTGGGTGCGCAATGGCGGCGTCTACAGTGCCGGTGCCCTGGTGAGTTCTCCCTCTCTCTCTCATGCAAACGCACGCAGACATATATGCAGCGCGGGCGTGCCGTGGCCATGAACGCAAGAATGCTAATCCCCGGCTCGCCTTGTCCCAGTTCTCCCTCGCCTTCTACGTCCTCCTCGACTCGGCCGTCTGGTCCAAGTCCGGCAACAACGGCTCCGACGTGCACGTCACCTTCGTGGACTGGCTGCCTCTCATCTTCTCCGCCCTGGGCATGCTGATCATCAACTCGGTGGAGAAGTCGCGGCTGTCGAGCGACTCCTTCTCCTACTCCGGGTCCGGCGTCGCCTGGAAGGCCCGCGTCGTCCTGTTCCTCGGCTTCGCCGCCCTCGCCGGCGGCATGGCCGGCGGCGTCACCGTCTTCGTCCTCAAGTTCGTCGTCCCCGGCGTCGAGTGGCCCGCCCTCGGCATGGGCGTCGAGAACGTTGTCGCCAACGGCCTCGTAGGGCTCAGTAGCGTCGTGCTCTGGGTCAGCCAGAACATGGAGGACGAGTACAGCTACAACCTGGCATTGTGAGGGGGGAGGCGTTTTTCCTTTTTCTTTCTTTGCTTTCTGCTTTTTGTTGCCGAAGACGGGGCGGAGGGAAGGGGGGAGAAGCGGAATCGAAGATCCCGAAACGGGGCAGGTAGATCCGAGGAAACGAGGCACGATAAGGGCGGTGGGTTGCGTACAGGCATCATGGGCCAGAGTCTGCGGACGTCGTCAGTCACACTCTTGAGCTTGTTGCGGAGCCTGCGGTGGGGCAAGGTGTACAATACGAAGATAAACTGACGAGCAGGGTTTGTTCTTGGTACAGCACAGATATCAGCATGAGGGTCGTCACATGCAAGCAAGCACTCGAGTTTCAATCACATGAAATCATTATTTTAATTCCCTCTCGAGATCCTGACCAGGCGCCCGTAGCCTTGACCGTGAGCCGTGCGTTTATGACATGGCATTCCCTTTTGGAGCCTGTAGAGCTGCCATAGATGAGGGAGCTTCTGTATCTCTCGAAGATTTTGTGTTGGGGCGAAGGGGGGGTTTCACGATCTTCATTCAAGTCTTCTGATGAGCCTTTTGCCCATTGTGACCGAAAGGATAAATCTCCACATGACCGTGATTTGTGTATACATGGCAGCGGCAAGGTCAGACATGGCACGGCTGGAAAGTCTCGATTCGAGTTCATCATGATGCGATTATTGGGAAACGTACTAGATATACACGACAATACGGCCGGCGACAGGAGTCCTCTCACATTTCCGATGCGTCGTCAGGCATTTTCCTCATCGGGTTTTCTCCCCCTCCCCCCCCCCCTTCTTCTCAGTAGGGCTTGAGACGGGGGCGATATAGACCCCGGGTTGGGCCTTCCGCTTTCAACGCCTCAGCGACCTCAACAGCAGCAGAGGGTGTCATGGACATGCTAAACCTAGCTCTGCCACAAGTACTCGCTCAGCGCGAGATTCTTCTCCCCCATCTGCCTCTTGGCGGCGGCGGCGATGCCCCTCTCCGGGTTGGCGAGCTGCTCGCTGTAGCAGAGCTCGACGAGGGCCTTGAGCTCGTCGTAGCTGAACCTCTCCTCGCCGGGCACCGCGTCGCGGTCCTTCTCGTTGTCCGCCTTGGCCTTGGCCACGATGCCGTCCGGCCCGGCCTCGAAGAGGGAGTAGTAGTTGGCGGCGCGGGCGAGGTCGATGCCGGCCTCGATGTTCTTGAGGTTCTGCTGGAGGACCAGGATGTTCAGCTTCATGCGGTTGCAGCCGCTCGCGTTCATGGGCTGGGTCTGCAGCGCGTTTCCGACCAGGTAGCTGTCGACGAGAAGTCCCAGACCCGTGCGGATAAAGCTGATCTCGTGCGCCCGGAGGAAGCGTACCACGGTCTCGTCGTAGGCGACAAGCTCGGTGTTGAGGGATAGGATGGTCTGGTCGGGCTCTTTGATTTCTTGGTCGAGAGGTAGCACATACGGCGCTGTCGAGGGCGACAAGGTCGCCGCAAGTGAGTGAATTGTACGGCAGCGAATCTCCGCGTGCAGAGTCAGGAGCACAGTGCCGGCGAGTTCTTCATAAGACGATACTATGCTGTCGAAAGACCTGTCATCGTGTGAGTTTTGGTTTGTGTTGAAACCTGTATTTCGGGTTGCGCAGATCACTTACTGTACTGTTTCCTGTGTCATTGGTAGATACACAGGCCCGTTCTGCTCGCCACCCGCCTTGCTTGGATCATTGAGTAGAGTCCACCGCCGGTTCTGGTCTTTGGGCAGAGTTGGTCGTGAAGAATCGGTTTCGGACCGTGTAATGTGTCTCAAGGTCGTGACCTTGACGGTAAGCCACTTCATGCTTGTATACAAGAGGCAAAGTGATGATATGACATCACGATCCTGAATAATGTCGCTGGGGCCCAGAGGTCGCTCGTTTGTTTGCATAATCAAAAGGGCGACCTCTTTCTCGATCAACTCATGGTCGGGTGTTTCCGAAGTCCAAAGCTTCTTGATGGTCTCTTGAAGATCCCCATCGGTGGTGGCAAGCTCGGCGGAGAAGCGCAGTTCCTGAGCAGCGGTAGCCACCTCCTGAGCCTTCGCCACCAGTGATCTGAACCATGTCAAGCAGCGCTCGTAGTATCGGTTCATCTGCGAGAGGATCAGCGAACTCAGCGCTTGATCGTGAGGAATCGTTCCGAGCATTTGACAGAAGGCTGTGACGACGGTGAAGAACTGTGTCGTTCCTCTGAAGATAGGTCTTCGAGATACGGCGCTCCAGTCGGGATCCTGCTGGAATGTATTTGCTTCCGCAAAGATGTTATCGGCAAGCTTGGCCAAAGTCTCGTCTAGCTGCGGCTGGAAGACATTGACCAAGAAGTTATCGAGGAACGATGTCAAAGCGCTTGCCGCCAAATCTGAACCCGGTGGCACGATGATCTTAAGCCTCTGTAGGAATACCAATGTCGGCGGCAACAGGAGGCTCATATTGAAAACACTGGGCTCCACCAATGACTTATATGATCCGGGACCCTGCCTATTTTCAAAAGCTCCGAGGTTCGCATTTCTTCTCTGGTCTCTCCCCGCCTTTTTGTCCGAGTCCTTCGTTTTCCGAGAGCCAGATGTGAGGCCGGGCACTGCGGCTTGGATGATGCCATCTAGTGCCTCGTATTCGGCTGTTATTTCGACGGATTTAGGATCTGCTTCGGAGAACTTGAACATGTTTTCTCTGCCAATGCTCTTGTTACCGTTGGTGTTTCCGCCTAGTTTTGGCGAAGTGTTGAAATGGTAAACGTCGGCGTCAGTAGTTACGTAATTGTGTAATAGCGAGCGGATCTCATTCTGATAGAGATTCCAAAGCTCTTTGAAGCTACCCAGCAAGGAGCTGTTGTTCCCAGCGCCCTCCCGCTTGATGAGTGCCTTGATGGATTCGTGGAAGATTCGGTGTCCTTCGGCAATAGCCTCAAATTTGCCAAACAGGCTCCAAAGGAGGTCATAGATGACATCAGCGCGTAGTTGGGTTTCGCGGCTGCCATATATGTGCAGACCCTCGGCATTGGAGGATCCGCCGCGCAGAGAGCTTGGATGCCTTTGGTCTACCTCATTGATTGTCTCGTTCACGATCGAGAATAGTTCCACGGGGAGTCTCTGCTTCAGAGTGTCCACGGCTCCTTCGAGCCGTCCGAGTCTGTTCAGAGACTCTACCAAAAGCTGCACATACCAAAACGTATCAGCCTCGGGATTTTTGGCGGGATCCTCAGCCAGCGGGGTGCTTGTTTCTATTGAGTCCAGCACATAATGGAAAGGAGTGATGGCATCCTGTTCGCCGGCGCTGTTGAAGGTACGATGGTTTTTGGACAGGCTTTGCCACCGCTCTTGACAGTAGGGCGATTTGAGGTATAGATGCTCGTGGAGCTCCTCGACCAAGATATCCATCAAAGCGGTTTCCTGGTTAGCAAGATAGCTCCTCAAGTCGCTCAGGGCTCCTATGTCATCCAATTCGGGCTTTCTTAGCTTGCGCAGAGCATTTTGTAGCACTTCGACAGCGGTAAGAAATCGCTTCTCGGATATCCGTGCTTCCAACTGATCGGGCACCGTCCGGAGGTCCTCCAGCTCATTGAGTATCTGCAGCACCTCGTCGTACGTCTGCGAGGTCTTGTACATCTTCTTGAGCTCAGGATCAGTTGTGCCAAGAGTGCCTCGGGAAGCGACCAGCGAGTCCTTCAGCGTGCGCACGCGCTTCTGCGAGGCCTGTATGCTGCCCTGGATCTTGTGGAAGGTACCGATGGAGCTGTTGAACCCCTGATGGTGCTCGTGCACGATTCCCTTCAACGAGTCTTGCAGGTATTGATGCATTTCTTGAAACTTTGGATATTCGTGGGCCCTGCCGACCGAGCTGTTGTCAAGAAGCTGCAGGGCGAGCGAGGCAGGTATGCAGTCGGGTTCGCACAGAGCCGGCCAGTCCTCCTTGACGTGTTCCAGTACTTCTGCTATCCTGCGCTCAGCGCTCGACTCTTGCGCCCGCTGCAACCTCGTGGCCGAAGAGCTTCCATAGCTACTGCCGGCTACTCCAGGGCCGCCATATCCACCGGTCCGGGGCGGCGGTCGTCTTGCGTTGATCTGCTGTGGAGGAGTGGCATATCGGTCGCTCGTGTAGCCCTCGCTCTTGTAGCCGTCGTTGGCGAAGGGATCGTGGTCGCCCTCCTGTTGTTGAGGTGGCCGGCGCGCTTGTCGGCCGTAGGAGCCGGGATATCCATTACTGTCGCCGTTGCGGTATGACCCTCCGTACGGGTTTGCCATGTCTGCAGTTGCGGCGCTGCATCTGCATCTGCATCAGGCACAAGCTTGGGGCGATGCTCTCGCGGGGGGCCTCGGCCGCCAGGTCCTGAGATCTGATCTCTGACCTCCGATCTCTAGATATGCGCAAATCGGTAGATGGGCCAGAGGTATCGCCGACCTCGAACAATTGTGTCGTCGTGTCCTTGGACAGCGTGCTGGTATGTGACTGTGGTTGAGGTTACGTGACTGAATCAAGCATTAGCCAATCCGGGGTTGAAGCCAACGGAGCTTCAATGTTGGCGGGCCTACAGGGAGATCCCCCCCCCCCCTACAGGAATGACCCCTAGCGCTAAACCCCTCCCTCCCCCCGAGCTTACAGTAGAGAGAGCCTGCAGTAGCCCGCGCTGGCCGGTCGCAACGGCAATTACTGTACCGCATTTGTTCAGTTTGTTTCATTCACGTTTAGCATCCGGGGCTTTCTCGTTTGTCTTCAGACCTGGGACGATACCATCTGTCAGTCTGACTACCCACGTACGTATATGTCTTCGGCCGGTATAACTGATGAAATGCCGGCTCATGCAAATGGGGTCATGCGCAAGATATCCGGGCAAGTCGCATGCAGTGCAAGCCAGAAGCTGGGTATTTATTCAGAGCGTACTTGGGAGTACTACATATGTTATCGAGTAAACTATCAACACGAGAATATCAAGTCATGTATAGCAATCCACCGCTCTCTAATAAGGTGCAACTCTTTTTAACCAGGGGCTGCTCAGATCAGTAAAGAAACTGGCACCCTTGACCTTGGTCGGCGCAGCTGTATCCGTGACATTACAGTTGACAAGCCAATCACCTTCCGCCGCGTACTTTTCCCCGACATATTTGGCATAGTCACTCAACAGGCAAGATGATCCGGGTCCGTTCTTGCACGACGGCACCGGATAGACCGCGTCGTTGAGACGAATACGCACATATGTAGCATTCGTCGTCTCCTGCCGCCGGTGCAATGTTGGGTAGCTGGCCGCCGCAGTCACAGTGGAGAAAGAACCCGAGGCCGTCGACGTTGTCTTTCTGTTGCAGGAGTCCTTGGTCGACGTTGAAGTACCGGTTGCGTTCGGGTAGTGCGCCGACACAGAATAGTTGCCCGACCCACCAGTCCCGGAGACGATACAGTTCAGCCGCTCGAACGCGATGGTGCCTCTCATGCTCACGTAGTGCGACCCAATCCATAACCTGTCGTCGTCCTTCTCAGTTGCGGAGAGCGGCTCCTGTTCGTCGAACACTCCGCTTGCTGTGACTAGCTCGGTAAGCTGCCCGTCGTTCAGGAACGACATTATAAGCTTGGGCAACTGGAAGCTTGAGCCGTCGGTCTGAGTACCAGTAATGGTAGGTCCTTGCACGAAAAGGCTAACCAGCGCATTCAAGAACGGCGTCATCATTTTCTTGGGCAAATCTGTCCCGGGCCCTATTCCGTAGTAGTAACGAAGGTCGTTTGAATATTCGTACTGCTTGAGCTCCTCGTCTGTGAAGACGTCACACCAAGGAGATAGCTTCCCAGTGATGTGTGATTCGAAGCCGCACAGGTACGGAATCTGGTCTATATCGCTGGCGGTCAAGGTGAGATTGCCTCGTATGAGAGTTTGCAACCTCTCTTGGATTGGGGGAATGTAGAGATTGTCCCATGTAGTCTTATTGGTTCCTCCCGAAGCATCGGCGAAGTTGGGACACATATCCGAAGGTGCGAGCGAGTCACCAATGGCTTGAGAAAATCCCTTGCTGGTCACCGAAATGACACTGCCATTGGCCGCAGCGTTGAAGCCAAGATAACCCTGCACGAAAGTTTTCGCGGTTTGTAGAACGCGTGTGTAGTTGTTTGCCCACACGACGAACTCATCTCCATCCTGGTACAGATCGGGATATCTAAACGGATCAGCTATTGTTGAGGCACGCAACGTGACTGCTTTCTCACCTGGTGCGAAGCTGATACCCAAGGTCGTGGACCTCCTTTGAGCCTGTTGGGTTCAACATGGCTATTTGAACCGCAGGGTTTGTCAAGACTGTCTGCCATGTCGGCAAAAACGACAGGCTGCCAGTAGCTGTGATATTTCCAGCAGAGAACTGTCGGTCGGTTAAACCACAGAGGTTGAAGGTCGCATCCCCGGAAGACTTACGCGCTCCTGCATAGAGACCCAACCAGCATATGCCCCCGAATCCGGATATCTGGAGCCGTGTCGGAGGACATAGGCGGCTTGGTCCACATAGCAATTCTCCGGGATATCGGAGGATATTCCGTGAACATCAGGTCCAGCGTACCATGGCCCGTTAGCTCCCAGCCATTTCAACGGGTCGGTAGCCGTTTCGCTCGCCGGAAAGTTGATATCCTGGGTGGGTGCGAGTATTTGTCCAACCGCGGAGACTCCGACGGCTGCTAACGATAGACCCACAAGGAGCTGAGAAGCCATCGTAACGATTGGCGGTAAGGAACAACGGAAACAATAACCTTGGGCCACCAAAGAGAACCACAGCTGAGCTACAGGACTGACGCACCGAAGCTTGACGCGACTGAGGCCATCTTATACACTACTTACACCCTGGCCAGATCGCCGGTCACGGTAACATCGCTCGGTACGAATACATCACCGAGCAGGGCCGGCCTGCACGTGGGCGAGTGAGCACAGGGTGAAAGGCGTACCTAGACTAGTTACGTTCGGCAAGATAACCGAGCAAATGGTATTGATCATTGGAGATGGAAAAACCCCTGCTCGGGCGCATCAGCTAATATGGCCCTGACGAAGTGGTTTTCGAGCCTCGACAGCGGTAGAGAAACACGTGCGAGGTATTCCGGCCATGGTTTGTGGAGGAACAGAAGCTCGGAAATTGCGCGGCCGGAAGAGGTCATTCACCGTGGTGTCCCCTGAAGCTTGGAAGTGGAGAGCTGCTCCGGCAGGGGTGTAGTGAACCACGATTTCGGGACGGTGAGCTTCGGCTGCGACCGAGAAACGGCATCAACCTGACCATGTAGGTAAGAGTCAAAAGAAAAAGGGATGAATAAAAATAAAATAAAAAGTAAATACCTGAGTCAGTATGTCTTAAGTTACATACCCTCCCAAAAGTTGTAGTCTCCAAGAAACAGTCTGGCGGAGCTGTGCAGCTCCGAGGCCTGATATGAAGATGTACTCAAGTGGACATGCCTCCTTTCTAAGATTAACCTTAGTTAGGGAACTAGCACGTGGGTTTGACTTTGCAAATTCGTTACGACCTCAAGCTGAGCATATGATATTCTATTGACGGCTTTACTCCAATATTAGTGGATTTGGCAAAGCGAGCATATGGCCTCAGCTGCACACCCAAAATCAAGATCGCCCCTTGATCTTCACTCATAGTCAGATGCCATGACTTTTTTTTCATATCGTTATGCTATCTATTATCGTGCTATCTAATGGCACACTGAAACATTCTCGCCCGTTAGTATGGCTCCATGAAGGGCTCTCCCATACCGGCGCTCCAACGCGGGTATTCCCATCTCCCAGTCATGGGGCACTGGGAAACAGGCCTCACGATACCACAGAAATCGTTCGGGATTTTCTGGTTAGAGTGCCGCACCAAATGATTTATGATATCAGACGGTCGTCTTGCTGTTGTATACATGCCTGGCATGCCCTCAGCGACTAGGTCGTCCGGTATATAGTGCATCTTTGAGTCGTCAGCAGGTAACATCTTTTCAATATGTGGCAATAAATCATCGCGACAGATGTGGTTAATATACTTACACCGTCACTGCATTCGTATCCTCTTCCTGTCCTGTGTCTGATCCAGTTAAAATTGTTTGGACATGGCGCTAATTCCAACCCTTTCTGGTTGGCCCATCGATCCTGAACAAGCCTCTCTTCAGGCGAGAGACTCTTATACGCCATCTGCTTCTCCGCCCGCAACACATCTTCTGGGTTTGTGTAGACAGACATCATGGTTCCGCCTCCAGGAAGAGTAATTACGGAGCCGCCGATGCGTCGTGGGAACATGGGGTTTTTACTCGGTGTAGGTGCTCTCCTGTTGAGGCTGGCGCTAAGCCTTCTGATATGGCGCTTAGCAGTTGGCCTATCTTTCACACGCCAAAAGCATTCGCTGTAGAGGGCACAGTAGTGCTGGGCGCTACAGTTGCAGGTAAAGGCACATGAGAGGGGCTAGCTAGCATGGTCAGTACCGGACTCCTGGAGGGGAACTTACTCGGTGTGTTGGAAGGTGTCGACATTTAATATCTAGTTGACGAAGTGAGTACTACTTGGGATCTAAATGAAACTTTCTAGTTTAGATTTGTTGTCTATCTATTAGAGGTGGTGTTGTCCTGGTTGGTGTATTATTGGTTGCGTTGAGGTGGTGTTGCTATATGATAAGAGCGGCGATCTCTTGTATACTAGGTTAGATATGTAGATTTTCCCGTCAGCAGCCTCGAGTACGTAATACGAACTCACTTCACCATGGATATGTGATTGAAGCAAAACAAAGGGCTGATGCAGTTAATTAGTCTGTCTGGGCGGGCCTTTTCTGGCTGTTAATCACAATGCCTGAATTTAAGCTGTGCTAATGAATCCACAGGCGTTATGCCACAAGCCAGAGCGTATCATTAATAGCGTTTGTTGTAGACCAAAGACGTAATTTATTTGACGTCATCGTAGACAGACTCCATCTAATAACAATGCAAATGTTAGACGCTACTTGTACACAAAACCAACTTCCAAATCAAGTCCATAACCTCTATGGTATCGCCGGTAATACATCATCAGCATCAGGGGCTCTCATGTAGTCCGCTGGTAAGCTGTCTGTCAGTGGGGCCTGGTGGTCAATTGCCCATTGAGCAATGGCATCATAATTCTTACACTTGTGCTGTGTTTTGAAGTCTGGGAAGGTTCTGGCACCGTCATCTGGGTCATACCATACCTGTCCAAGGACACCAGTATCTACATTGCACATGAGTACCTGGCGAATAACGTCCAAGCAGTGCGATGCGTGAAGTTGGAGGATTTTCTCCTCGTTCTTGAAAGACCATTCCCCAAGATTCTTGTAATAGTCATAGTTATACCACATTCCTTTACGGACAAGATTGAGGCAGTGCAAATGGTGCATGCCCTCGACATTGACAAAGTAACCACCACCGTATTTCTCCGCTCTACGCGCGTGGTGTTTTGACAACCCCGAGGCTACGCCTTCGAACTCATCTATAATCGATGCTCGGGCTGTGACTGTTAGCTTGGCCGGCTTTGACGGTGTTAAGTCACATACAATTGACCCCAAGTGCCTCCCAAGCTGCATCCACTTCTGGAGAGCCTACTTTCCGATATATGTTCTCTGCCTTGAACGATCCATTGAATGGAGTCATTTCGTATTTTATGTCCACATTCCGAAGCACGGGAGCTTTCAGATAATCAGCAATTAGACCTTCAATGGTACAAAGAGACCATCACTCACAGTATTGAGTTGTGTACGCAGCACAAGTTTTGTTCAGATTGACGCTTTGTCGTCCGATTAAGCCACCAACAGCTATGAACACGACAGCTGTCAGAGACACCATCAAAGAGACATATAGCCAAGTTGGACGATGACGCAGTCTCCTGTCTATTGGCGTCAGTGTGTCGACTGATTCAGAATCATATATCGATTCCTCGTCAGGTCCCGTGAGTGGTTGCTGCTGATCATATTTTTCTTGCTGGCGGGACATGTTTGATGAATGTTATATGCTTGTGTGCTGTACGAGAGATATGCGTTCAGAAAGAACGAACATTGAGTAGAAATATTTGATATTCAGGATGGTTAAGTTATCAGGCTTGGAAAGAATTGTACATCATGGAAAACTGAGAGTTACAGAAACTAAGAAGCCCTTTCAATCTGCCCAACCATGTAACCATGACATTTTGTCAAGCTATGATCTGTTCTTGGGCATTATAGTCTATGCAGTCAGCTTAGATGGCAGTGCTCGGGGGTCGTGTGGGGAAAGGTTTGGCTAACCTTAGTCTCAAGCTACACAACGCCAGGCGCAACTACGGCTTACATCTTACACACACAAGGTCACATTGGAGTGTTGAGCGAGGACTAGGCATTTCGACAAGCCGAAGGAGCTGAGGAAAGCTGAACCGGGCTAACTTATGCGTGGCTGTTGTCATGTCGTGTTTTCATACACAAACTTCCTTCTCATTCTCATCCTACCAGCCATCTTATCTAATCGCAACCACGAGAGAATTAGGTTTCGTAATTCGTGGCTATTATAACTGGTTTCCATGGGCAAGCTAACCAATGCAGTCACACTCGGAAATCCGATATATCGGCACGTCTGTGCCGCAATACCTAGCTCGCCGTCCCGACGAACGCATCTCTACAGATCGTGGTATATAACGTTCACAAATCGGAATCGAAGGCTATAATTAGCATGGTGCTGCCAAATAACCTTAGTTAGGTCGAGGCGATGGGTTTAATTGTGGTATGTAACTATAATTGGAGTTTGTGAAGTGACGTTACTTCAAAACGCTATATATGATCTTGAGATGCCGCAACTGGCAACCCCTTGGATGGCTGCAGCTGGCAAAGCTGAGCGATTTACGGCATGATCACCTCTTTGCCATCGGCTGAATTAGAAACGTTGATCGTGATAAGCACTTGTCTTAGCTTGCCTCGTAATAGTGTGATAACGAATGAGGATATTTGGTGGAATTTTAGTGTATCATCAAAGAAGTCCAAGCGGATGCCTCAAGGTAGTAAATATCATATTGTGAACACCTTGGGCGTGCTATGAACCATCACCCAGCCTCATCGCGCATTGCTAGTCAAGCCCGACGATTCCGAGATACCCTAAATCCTTTGCGCAAGGTGAGTAAGGCACTAAGGTCACCCGAAGATGGGTAAGATGGCTTATATATATCCAATGGTATAAGTAAAATCTTTAACAGTCCCACGAAATGATCGAAGGGGGTTAATAAAGACCAGTATCTTCTCTAAAGAGAAAGGAGGTAGATTTCTCATCCCATCATATTCACTTCCCATAGAGCAACAGCACCTCTCCGATCATCTTGGACGTCAGTCAATTTTCATTCTATCATATTTCTATCTTTTCTTAACATGAAGGTTTCTGTACTCCTATCTCTGGCCGCGACCGCCTTGGTGTCGGCGGCTCCTGTAACTAACGACGGGACCGAGGACCTCACTGCGCGTGATGGCTATGGTAACTACGGGAAATATGAGGCAGTAAGTACAATCATGAGACAGCGTGCTTAAATAATCTGACAAGTTGCCGTTGTAGTACGCCCCATACACCACGTACAAACGTGACGTAGCTGAAGAGAAGAGAAGAGTAGCTACTGAGGAGGAGAAGCGCAGTGGTTATGGCAATTATGGCAATTATGGTATAACTCCTGGACCGATACACCAACGTCGCCAACAGTTTCTCTCTCTGGTTCAATTACAAGAGATAATACTCCGATGTCTGGGTCTGGTCACCTCATATAGATATGCTAACGACTGAACGTCAAACAGGCAAGTACGGTGCCTATGCACCATACACCAGCTACAAGCGGGACGAAGCTAAAGAAAAGCGAGACGCTGCTGCTGAGGAGGATAAGCGTAACGGATACGGCAACTAGTGAGCTTGAATTCCATATAGTTCGATCATATCAGAGGCTAACGTATATCTTCCCACTACAGCGGCAAGTACGGCGCATACGGCGCATACGCCCCGTATACCAGCTACAAGCGCGACGAAGCTAAGGAAAAGAGGGACGTTGCTGCTGAGGAGGATAAGCGTAACGGATACGGCAACTAGTAAGCATATTTTCCTTATATATTGCTCCATCATATAACAGGCTAACATACACTTTCCTCTTACAGCGGCAAGTACGGCACATACGCCCCGTACACCAGTTACAAGCGTGACCCGGCGCCCGAGGCTGAACAGAAGAGTGAAGTTGCCGCCGAGTATGCGAAACGAGAGCTTGCCTCGGAGCAAGTCTGAGGCATTCCAGGAGTAAAACTGCTTGATAAAAACGCAGAGCTCATCTCGAAATGACCAATTTGGTGTAGCTGGATGTCAGTAAATTCATCATATGATGGACACAGAGCCTGGCTTGACTGGAGAATGATACGGAGTTGTTTCGTATGGGAGCTGATCGGCTTATTCAATCTTTTGAACAGGTAGCATAGTTCGGTATTCACGGTGTAGGTCATAAACACGTTCTTTAAATTTTCTCTCGTAGGTACATGCTAGAACATTCATTAGAGTCACTGATCAGAGCAACAAACATAGTAGTGAAAGTGACTTCAATGTCTATGCTAGACAACTTTCAAAGCAACAGTATTAATTAAATCCCTTGTCCTCATGTGAGGTGTTGTTCTTATTGCTAAATCATCAGCATGGATAGCTGACTACGTGATTAGTCTCACCGGAAAGACTACTGAAGCACCTCTATAAGATCTAGCAAGTATGCTATCACGGTCGAAAGCTTCAATATCCGGTTACATCTTCATGTAGTGTACATTATAAAAACTTTATAAGGGCTTCAGGTGCTTGATCAGCCAACTCCGTACACCTAATTCAGCATGACTACGAGCAGGTAATACCGAAGGGCGAGAGCAGTCATGATACATTTTGTTACTATCATTGGTCCTAAGTTCTTGTCTCGGAGCTATGTCAGGACACTGAGCCTGAAAATATGGATTTACCAGTAAAATTTCATTCCCATAATTATCTGGCAAAAATATTGAACAGCTCGATGCATGCTCAAAGACACGTCGGGCAACAATCACAGCGACAGGGGTTACCGGAACCATGAATACAGTCAAGATTCAAACATCACACAGCATGATCGGGCATTGATTGCATTACTGTGCGGATGACTTTAGAAGCATTTGAAAATTCTGTTACTTTCCTATAATAAGGTTTGGCAATGAAATGTAGATATTGCCTCTTCAGTCTGATAAGGCATCAGTAGACCGAAATAGCATGATATATGTTCACCTTACGAGGAAAGCCTGCAGGCTCGGAGGGAGGGTTGCCGGGTTTCCTTCATTTGCATGGCCAGTCGCTTTGCAGAGCTCTCTTTCTGTACTGCCAGATTCTCATGCCCAAAATCAAAGCTCGTCGTGTGCATTCTGATTTTCGTACTATTGGTGATAAGTCGTGTGTATTGACATATCCGTGACAGTCCGATTCTGATTCCTGCTTTTGAATGAAGTACTCCGATTTGTACCGAGTTAGTCCAGGGAGTTCAGATGACGCACCCCATCGTGGCGAGACGACATGTCGCCAGGCATACCGGTACGAACCATGATGCCTGGTACACCATTCGCACCTTCGTAATCACCGGATGATACGCGAACCCCTGGGATCGACCTGCCACAAACGTCATCAAGATTAAACGTCCGGCGGTCAACTCTGCATACTCACTGACATAAAACGCATCCTAATCTCGTGTCGTGGGGTGCATACACCAAGGGCTGGCTCTACCACGGCATCCAATGCTGCTATTAAGGTGCATAGATTGTCATTGACAAATGATGATACTCTGTTGCCAAACATCGTTGAATTCTGACAGGGGTCAGAGTCAGTACCTTTGAATTCTAATTTTCGGGGTCAAAATTACCTGGATTGATAGATCAACCTCGCGGGCCTGGTCTCCAACCATGGAAGGCGTACATGCGGACTATGCGGTTTGAAATTTCTGCGAACATGTTGCAGCTCTTAATAACAAGTGCAGCAAGAGCTGCATACCGACGAAGCATCGAAAGAACACCTTGCTCGCAGCATACTGATGAACCATGGGGGGTTTATTAGTTTCTAATCCTGGACTGGGGAAATGACGGGACGCGTTCCGTAAACCTTGGATCCCTGTCAAACGATCAATGTCAACATGCTTGTATAGTCCGTCATAAACACTATTTCTTTTTACCTTCTGGATCGAAATCCGAATGCCTGGAAGCTTTGATAGAGATCTAGGGAGGTGCTTTTTGCTCAGGGGATTTGCATATTGCATAAGTACGCCTAGCGGCTTGTGCACGGGCCAGTACCACAGCTAAGCCTGCTAAGGGCCTGTCAAAGTCACATCAAATGCAGCCCTTTCAAGCTTTTTCCCATACCATCCATCACGCATAGTGCCTGACCAGTTGGACCTTCATTACGCGTGGCTGCCTCACCTCGTGGCTATCATGGACACAGCAACACAAACGGCGCAGAACGTGGTCGCTCCTAGTGAGCAGCCCAAGATTTCGCTCGTGGTCGAGTTCTCGTAAGTGCCCAACTGGATCATCCCATGACACCGTGTCTGGAGGCCACGGCGAACTCTAATCCCAGCATAGCTGATACTATATGTCAACCGCATTCTCCTGACTGATATTTTTGCAGAGGTGGTTTGGAAATGCTGTTTTCGGACAAGCGTCGCCACTCGCTGTGCATTCCGGCCGTTAGCAAGGATGACAAGCCTGCCGACGTTGCTTTTCTCATCGACTACCTATGCCAGAATACGATGAAGGACAGCCGCAAGGAACTCTTCGTCCTAGACGAGCACCTGTAAGTCTCATCAGAACTTCGCCCGTTGCAGCAAGGGTCTTTTAGCCTTCGGCTTTGACATGATGGCGTTTTCTTGGTTGTTTCGACCTTATGGCTTTCAGTTTAAGTGTCGACCACGCCTGCTGGTCAAGAGCAAAAGCTAACGCTGCGATTTGCCAGCCGCCCAGGTATCCTTGTCTTGATCAACGATGCAGACTGGGAGCTCGAGGGCGAGGAGTCTTATGAGATCCAGAACGGTGACAACATTCTCTTCGTATCCACGCTGCATGGGGGTTAGTTCCAGGGAGTGAAATCAACCGCCAACCACATAGTCGAATGGTATTCTCAATGCAGGTGCAGCTTCAGAGGACTAATGCCGGCGGCAACGGATTGGTTAATGAGACATCTCAGTCAGGACTGGGCCAGCCATTGGGGCTTGCCAGCTAGTGACGGCCGCATTTGAAACATCCTCAATCATCTGTCAACCTCGTTCTGAGCGCCGTTATGGCAGACAGTGCGCTTAACTTAATGTCATCCCTGGATCCCGTCTCACCCCTTTTGACCCGTCTCCGCTGGACTGGCTGAACGGCAGCTAGAAGTCTGACGCCATTCAACGAGCGTTAATGCTTGCATACTTCGGCTATTGATGAGACTATGTAACGGTTGCAGCTTAGATCAAGAACCGAACATTTCGCTGGCGGCGGCATCCCGCAGTTGTCTTTTCGCACAGACTATGCACGTACTGTAATGACAGACGCCTAGCGGGAACGAACACAGTGGAAGGGATGTGGGCGGTGAAGCATGGAGGGGACTTGTACCTACTGTATGTAGATGCTGCAGTTATGCTCGCACACTTGGGCCAATAAGAACTTACATGAGACCCTCCTAAACGCCTCAATTTGGTATCCTGCAGTGGCGGTGAAAGAAAACCGGTAGCGACGTGAGCCTTATGCTATTCGAGTTCAAACGTGGAAAAAAATCTCCGCGGCCGTCATAGCCTAGGTACATATTATGATAGTCCGCTTGTTGTGTCTCTAACACGACATCTTGCATAGGCTGGAGGACCACCACTTTTCGGCACAGCGGCATTTGGCCCCCTAGCACCGTTCGAGACCAGTAGCGGACCGAGAAGCTGGTTCATTTTGAAGGCAAGTGAAAAGCAACATTTTGCGAAACACTTGCAGATACCAACAGCAAAATGAGTTCTGACAATCTGCGTGGGTTGTGACTAGTAGGGGTGAGGCCACACCACTAGGAATTCGCACCCGGGCACTACTCCGTAACTCGCTGCGAGGTCCTCGGTGGATTGCATAGTACGTGCCAACTATGCTACATAGGACGACACATGCGTTAGGGCGAGATCAAGCGAGCGAATCTGGACTGGTTGCTGTCAGGCTGTATAATAAGGTTTTGGTTTTTTTTGGCTGTACAGGCTTCTTAGAGATGGCTTGCGATGTATCACTTGCATTAGATCAGCGTACCGAGCCGCTGCGTGATAAGGTTGAAAGCGCCAGACCAGACGCTGGAATTTCCCGGCTGTCGGATGCTCGGCTAAACTGTTCCTAATGCTTAACCTAGTCAGTCTACTGTACTTGTAGTCGCTGCCAAAATCTGTCCCCACAATCATATTATACTACTAACCTTAGCTGCCATGAAAGCTAGTCCCGAACCCGCATGTCGTTCGTCCGTATATACACCCGCTTGTGTTTTTTTCTTCTTTTTCCCCCCATCTATTATTATCTGACTCGATGTAGTACGAACAGTTCGCCTGTTTTCAGGTACCTGCGGAATCAGGACAAGGTTTGTTTAAAGTTTAGGAAGTGCTGTGAAGGGACCTGCGATAGTCAGGGGTCGCGGAAGGGAACCCTTATTGAATATGCCAACAACTCCTGGACCATGTTATCCACAGGGAGAATTTATTCCGCTCCGGGGTATGAAATTAGGTCACACGAAATGAGGGGCTGTGACTGTCGTTTACCCAGCGACCGACCTGGTGGACTTGTCCGGGATATTGACGTGCTGGGGGGATTATGCAGCCCACACCCCCCGACGACACCCTAGTTCCCCCACCTCATAGACAGATCATACCCGATCTATGAGGTTCCCGATCCCCCATTACCGTGCGGCTATTACCTGGGCCTCACTCTGCCTTAATATGATATCTAATATGACAAGATCCCAGACATATGTGACCGCTTGTCACTGATAAAGCAGACCCCGGATGCAAGCAAGGGTTATTGAGCAGAAGCGAGAATTTAAGTCAAGGCACATGTTGCAGTGCTCGTTATGATTGCTAGGTAGGTAGCTATACGCAATATGTAAGTAATTACTTCCAAGGCTGTTCCCTGTAAATGTTGCAGAAAGCCTCTCGCATGTGCAGTTCAGGTGACCGGCCAATGCTTGACCACGCTGTCGCGCCCAATGCGCCCCCTTCCAAGTTTTCCTGACGAAACAAAAGGTCTGATAACCCTGACGCGTCGGGGTAGCTCCAAATAATAACAATAAGTTGTTGACCGCCAGAATGACGATGTTTGAGGAGTGCCACCTTGCCCCAATGATGCCCAGACATGGCCACCTAAATTTGTCCTCCAGACGCGTATCCTTGGATAACAATTACCATTTGCGTCCATCTACATGGACTTCAAGCCCGATAGATGCCTTGCATGCTGCAACGCGCCGGGTCGTGCCCCAAAAACGCGACCGACGTAGCACGCCGGCAGTAGCTATACCTCCTATTCCTCCATTCGCAGTGAATGAGGCAAAAACACACCAAAAAAACAAGAGTAGATACATGCGCACGTTGAGATCCCGCGAGTAAAAATCAGAAGAAAAGCACAACGCTGACCGGTCCTGCTAGAGGACCAAACAATGACAAGATAGGATAGGTAGAGAGACATTAGAGGCATGAATGTAGACAAAGAAAAATGGAGCAATGAGACCAAAAAGAATTTGTTCAGACAGCCTTTCCCGGAAAAAGAAGAAGAAAAAAACAGACCAGCCGCACACCTCTATTCCCGTTTCGTCTCTCAGGCAAATTTTGCCGCCCAAGAGTTTCTATGCCGCCGGTTCTTGACGCTCCAGTGTAAAATGCAGAGATTTGCCGCCCTTGTCCGGTGGACAGTGTAGTGCTTTTCAATGGTGCCGCCGGAAAGTGATTGGCGGTTCTTGAACACACCGGTGTATCGTAACTTTTGATTCGAAAAGACAAAGTGCCACCTCCTAATGAATTCGATCCCATCATGTTGCATTTATCCTATGAATTTTTTTTCGATTTTGTTTTTCGTTTGGGGTTTTCGTATACAGAAGAAATCGAGGGAATGTGTAAAGAAATTAAGTAGACCGCCCCATGTCTACTTGTGAAAAGCTCATTATAATCGATGCGTTTGTTGGATTTCTGGCGCTCGCTGGTGTGTGTCCGTCGCATCTCCTCACGGAAGGAATATCACGTAGCGTCATACAGCTTGCCGCGTAATCATAAAGTTCATCCTCATGTGTATCATGTCCTCGAACGTAACCTAGTACCGATCGCGGAATGCCAGACCACGGTTGTGTTCCTCTTCGTATATCGAGGCCGTCGGTGTGTTGAGAGTTCCGGCACTGGACGCATTGCTGGAAATGGGTTCGTGCTCCATCTCGTACATCTCATACTGCGGCCGAGCAGTATGTATCGGCTGGTAGCCGCCATCACGTGGGATAGAGTAGCCCTGCCACGTTTGTGCTTGAGGAGGCAGGCCATGTTGAGGCAAATTGGACGGGTTGTGAACGGACAATTGAGAGAATTGATGAAGTGGCAGCGAGTGCTCCATAGGAGGTGTTCTCTGCTGCATCGAGTAGTTAGACATCTCCTGGAAAGTTTGGCTGTTATTGGCCGACTTCTTCTGGATGGATCGGCCAACACCGCGACCTTTGATGCCTTGGTTCATCTTGGCATAGATCTCCTTGAAATGAAGGAAGATCTTCTGGTCTTCCTCGCTGAGCTCAGTGTAAGCCTTCTGAGCGAACAATGCTGTGTACTTGGCGACGGATTCCTTGTGAAACTTGTTTTGGTGGTTCTGTATATTGGGTTAGCGGAATTGCCTATGGCTACACGGTGGAAACTAGTAACAAACCTTCAAGTTTCCTCTCTGAGTGAATGGCTTATGGCAGCCCTCAATCAAACAGTGGAACCGCTTCGTTGGATCGTGAACTGACTGGTGTGCTCTCAAGTTGCCCTTTTGTGCAAAGGTCTTGGAGCATTGGTCACAGGCGTAAGGCTTCTCGCCTGTGTGTCGACGATAGTGGGTCTAGTTTTCTGATTAGCATTACAAAAGAGCCTGGGTAGAGTACTGGAACTCGCCTTCAAGTTTCCGTGCTGAGAAAAGGTCCAATGGCAATCTTTCCAGCCGCATGTATAGGGCTTCTCGCCAGTGTGGCTACGCATGTGTATTCTCATGTGCGTGCCCTGGGTGAAAGTCCGCTTACAACCCTCCCATGTACACCTGCGCTTCTCCTTGTGGTGGGTTTTACTGTTGCGGCGCTTGCTGCGTGTAGAGCGGGGACTCGAAGATCTTGACCCCGATGCATTGCTGCATGGTGGTGATTGGTAAGCCTTTGGGGAGATGAGCCCCTCGTCCTCCTCGTCCTCCTCTTCTTCGTCCTCTTCCTCTTCCTCTTCCTCTTCGTCCTCGTCATTTTGTGCTTGGATTTTGCGCATCATCTCATCGATAGGCGTCTCTCCAATGAAAGGGGTAGGCTTAGGGGCAGCTGCCTCTGCCGGTGTCCTAAGCTTGGGGACTGGTGGCAAAGGCAACTGGCCTGATGGCATAGGATCGCTCTTTATTTGGGGACTGGAACCTTGCTCTTGCCTGTACATTGGCGGCACCTCTCGAGCATGATAATGCACACCGTGTGAGGGCTCGTTTATAGAAGATCGCTCATCCGCATACGAGCGGTATGACATGACCATTGATGATGGTGATGTGGGAGTATATTGATTTACGCCAAAATTGCTGTGTGGCGGCATCCCAGATACTGGAGCCATACTTGGCACAGAGGCCATAGCATAAGTGGTTCCAATGGCATACTGCGGTCCATGGGGATGCGTCTGCATCGGAGCCGTCGTTGTCCTCGGATCATAAGGCATCATAGCAGATGCATCCATGGTCGAGTATTGGGTGTTCTGTTGATAGTGCCCGGACCAGCGGTCCCAGGTGGGCGGTTGCATACGAGCCATTGTCGTCCACACGGGTGAGTTGATCAGAATCAGCACTATTGGATCACAAAATGTGTGCTGGTTTGTCGATGAGCCGTATTTGTTTTCCAGAGGCGGCTGTTGCGATGAGAGATGGTTTCTTGAAGATAGAGGTAGTAGAGTATAACAGTAAAAACAAAATACCACCGGTTCGTAAAAAAGGAAAGGAGAGTTCTTAGAATCAACACTAGACAATAGCTAGATCTGTAAGTTGATAGCCCGAGTGAATCGTCAGAAGGAAGCAACTTTGGGGGAGAGGGAGAATATGTACACTCTGGCCGACAAGTAGTGAGGATCGGTTCAGCTTCAGGGAACCAATTGGGCCCAATCCCGGAGATCGTAGAGAATAGTAGTATGCACCCATGAGTACATTGTACTTGCCTTGGCAAGATACTTCCGAGAATGTCTGAAGCATAGGCTTGTCAAGGAGCTTTGCCATATCTTACTCATTTACGACCGGGGGGGGGGGGGTACGTACCTTCTTGGGCAGGGGAAAGATTTTCGAGTGAGGCTTGAACAACACCACGCTGGGGTGACAGGTCAAGACAACTAAGGCCAATACGGCAGAGGTTACTAGTGGCAGACCGGAATGTACCCGTACAGGTCCCGTCAGCGTGTGCAATGTAACTTACTTTCATCATCTCGTTCGTTTCGTCAGTTTGCTGATGGAACCCACTGTCACAGTTTGACATGCATAGCAAAAAACGAAATGCGAGAACACTTACTCATCTTGACTTGATTAGGAAAGAAAGACACTCGCATATGAGTTACGTCCGGGTACCCAAGCATGAACTGGGAGTCCAGACCCGCTCGCTATCTTGCCCCAAGGAGAGAGCATAGGTTCGTCTAGTTGGTCTCCATGCGGGAGAGACACAGGGATCGAAACAAGGGCCCTAGACGTATACGTACCAAGAGATGACCAATTTGACAATAGCATACTTGAGCGAGGTGGGTGGCAGAGAATGGCTTGTGTGGCATAAAAGCGACCGGACGGAATGTTTAAGACATGGATACCCAGTCAAGAGCCATGGTATATACTCACACCGGGTTAGCTCGTTGATCACAGCTGTATTTATTTTATTTTCCTTCGGTTCCGTGTCAAGGGTGTCTTGGCTCGCGCTAGCCGGGGGTCAGATACCGCACCCGTCGATGTGGGAGCCGTGCTATTCGAACCTGTAGATCGAAGAGTAATTCGTGATCCAAATAAGATCGATGAGGCCTGCCAAGTGGGTTACTTCCTAGAGCATCTTAAATCATGCTGTACGGTGGCTTTTTGTCCACCTGACCTTGAACCCAATGCCGCCTTACCAACAAAGGTGGCTTGAATCGTGGTACCTCGATGCGGAAGATGTTCAGAACACGAACCACATCATTAAAGCGCAGCAGGGAGGTTATGGTTCATAACTGTATGCATAGTCGCGACTTTGTTGAATATCTCTTTGAGATGAAGACGGTTATGCGGTTCGGCATACGTACAAAGACCTTGAATCATTGTACATACGATGTAGGCGAAATTGTGGCCCCGCTCAGATATACATGCCTACGGCTAAAGTACGCTCCAGAAATTGCTAAGGGTGCTTGCGCCGGGAATACCATCGTCTTGCAAAAGCGAACAGTCAGTGGAGGTATATACTTGGGCATTTTATACGTCGGTGGCTGGGATCATGGTTCAAGGTCAACTACTTGGAACAGTCAAATCTTGAATATCTAAATTTGGCGGATGGTCATCACAGTGATGAGGTCGTAAAAACATGCGCCATAGAAATGATCTATCTACTTGTCAAATAGAGTTTTTGTTCAGAAAGAAGTTCATCGATTATTTCGGCTCTTGAAAATGACTTGGCTGGAATTGTGTTATTTGGACTTGGTTTTGTCAAACGCCAAGTCAACGGGCGGCGACTCAGAAACAATGCATTCCTATGTACAGTAGTCTCAACCACCTCTGTGAATGAGTGCAAAAGGTGGCCGTTAGAGGGACTAGGACATACACACGGAGTAGCACCCATTGGCACTAAAACCTGCTGGATACTGGTTGTGTATGTTTTTAGTGTGGGGGGCTTGTTGAGCCATTGCAAGAATGGTGCACTAAAACCCATGAACACTGAGCAGTGCTATACATACTTAAGTGCGCACTGCGTTAGTTACCGACAGAGGTTATGTACTTATGTACGCGGTATATATGTATGATATGGTGTGATAGGTCTGGTGTTGCGATTGGAAAACCGCTTCCGGCACTTGATCCCACTATAGCCCCTACTCCACGAAAGCAGTAGCGTCACTGATAGTTAAAATGATGTCTTCCACTTTCACACCTACAGTATCTACTTTTGCAATTGTAAGAGGTATGGGTTCATCCAGAAACCTTGAATGGCAATCTGACCAGATCGCCGGGTTCCTATTTTTCGCGTTCAGCTCGATGCCGGAACTTCATCTCCAGCCACTCTGGGTGCACTAGGGAAGGTAGGAGGGAAGGAGGGTGCGAGGGCTGAGAACAGCCACTCTTTAGCGCAAGTGCCTAGGCTATGCATATATACCTGGTGGTTTGGATATAAGGATCGTCTTAAGAAACCGTTCCACGACCCTTGCTCTCATCGATGCGACGCAGTTCAAGTATCTGATGCAACACACGGATAACACGCCCTGTAATCCCGAGGGAGTGGAACGAACGTTTGGCAAGTTCCTTGAGGAAGGAGTCGTGTCGTGATACAACTTTTTACGTAGCAGCTTGGCCCATAGAAATGGTTACTATGAAAGCCGCCGGCTACTTCTGTTACACGCAAATCGAGGTCGGCGACCAGATGTCCAGATCAATAGGTGTCACCATTATGATCTTCGTAAATGCCGGGTTGGTCTCGGCTTCGTTTTAGTCACATGAGCACTTTTTTGAACCAGGATGATGGGTTCGACGACTGTTGCATGCTTGCAACAGCTTCAGAACTTGCCAGGCCGATCTGGGTTTTTGGCGAAATTTAATCGTGAGCAGACGCACTAGATCGATGGATGTGCTTCCCCGTTATGTAGGATACTGTGACAAGTCATATTTTCTGCAGTTGCGCAAAGGCGTTGGTACTGGGGTGAGGCATTAAAAGTTGAATGTCCCAGTTACCTGGTACAAATCCAGAAAGATGCCATCTCGCTCATTCCCCAAAGTCCAGTATAGTCTAGTCTGTTCTCGCTGAGCCCGAAAACTATTGGTGATTATGATGCCTGATGTGATCATAGCTCCAAGAGAATCCATAGTCAGCCGCAATGACCCTGGCAGGTAATGCCTTGACTATGAATCCAGCAGACTGGTTTACCGCGGATGATCCCCTGGCCTAATTGTGTGCATGGGTAAGCTCCCGCACCAGGGCCTGTTCGTGGGAAATGGTCAGGGGCTCAGCGTCGGTCTGGACTCTAGACTCTGGACACTTTTGGGCAGCAAGAATGTGGATCTCTCTGAAGAGCAATCATCGCACTCGTACGGGTACTATTTGACATAGTCAGACAAGAATTTCACTGCTCTGAATATGTCGTAGACGCTGCATTCCCTATAATCAATAGTGACGCCGATCAGGGAATTGAGCTGGCTAGGGTGAACAGTTCTATCTCCCTTACTCTCTGCTAGGACACGTGAAAACGATACACTTCGTTCTACCTTAGTCTAGGTTAGTAAACTTGTGCTGCCATGCGCCCGTTATCGCAACTTTGATACTCTTGCTAATACAAACATAGTGAAAAGCGAAGCAAGCGTGGTTGTCGTGTAGCGACATTTTGGACAATCTTGTCAAAGTGCATGTCAAGGGGCTACATGCGTAACCCCTCTTATCATGTGGGAATTGGGAATGTTGAAGCGAGTCTCTAATAACTGGAACTCGGTGTGCGATACAGGTAGGAATTAGATTATCGAGTGCGGCCATATCCGCAACATGACAAACAGATACAATAACGTGGGGGAACGAACTGAGTCCGGAGGCATTCTGGCCTATGATCTAGCGGGGATCTTCCCCACACAGCCCTCTAAACGATCTTACCGCCTCATTTGCTTTTCTGGCTCTAGAAGAGAGGGCTTCTCTCGAGATCAGCGTGCCATCAGATTTACGACAGTCCTTGCACCGCACCTATGATTGGAAACGAATCCATTTCCGCCTTGAAATGAACCAGGGCTCAGCATTATCCGAAAGTTGTTTCCTTGCAAGATCAGCATGATGACTATATTTGTACGATATGAGAACAAATAAATAAAAAATTATTCCCCCCCTCTCCCCCCCAGCCGCCAGGAAGAAAGTCGGGCTACAATAGGTGCAACCTCCTGTTACGATTGCATCTCTGTGGCTGTATATGAACTTCTTGGAGGCTTTATATATCTAGCCTAAGTGACCAGCTTGAATAATTTGTGAATTATCTTGCATGTCGCGTTGTCTGGCTGCATCATATCTGTGCAAGGTTGAAGGCCAACTCCACGTTAGTTATCCGTCAGGTCTCACGTGCAGGATAGCTTGCTAAGCTGTGATATGCTGGACTATCAGATGGCGAACGAACACACACTGGGTCTTAGCACTGGCACTATACTAATTAGGTTAAATGGATCAAAGAGAAAGGCTTCAACGTTGACGCATGGTTCCAAGAGCTCGGCTGAGCGACCGGAGCTCGACTGGCCGACGAACCAAATTCGCCTTGTCTTTCGTACGAAGGGATGACGTTGAACATGGACGCCAGTCAGTGCACAGGGACGGTTGAACTCCAACTAGACATTCTCCCCATACAAGTTCCCAAGTTTATTTCGCTCTCTATTGAAGAGAATACCAAACACTGTGCCTCGGTCTTGCCTATACGTCACTTGATATTTTTGGTGGAGAGAATGAATAAGTCATCATGACTGTTCTCGCACTTCACACTCGAATCAAACACACTTTGCCTTTCGGTTTCTGAGCATTGCTCGGAACAATGGTCATATCCACGGTCATTTTTGCAAGGGTTCGTCCAAAGTTTCAAGCTATATCCCAGGAGACGGACCTCAAAAGCCACCTGTCAACCTCGAGCTCCCGCTTGCGATTGGATCCGAGTTTAGCCCCGGATGCCTACACGACGGGGACCAGCCCCCGATGCCTACTGACCTCTTAGAAACTATAATTTGCACATATACAATTCTTTTCAAACCTAGATCTGCCTGATACTGGAGCGCATTCCTGCGTATGTGCTTGCTAATATGACCTGTATCATTTCTATCGCCTCCACGCGGTCCCTTATGTTCGTGCTGACCAGCGTCGGTAAGTACGGCCGGCTGGACACAGTGAATTTCATGACTTCCTTGTCCTTGTCTCAACAATCCCAGCAGCGGGATCTACTCCGGCGGTCCATCTCTTGAGGATGCGGCGGGTCTATGGAGTTCGCGACGGCCTTGCAAGGTACGTTTGTTGTAATATCTGTGCTGCATTCATTCTTTGTTCAATTCCTGTAGAACAGCGCTATAGCTCTTGGTGCATTGCATGCTATGGATCGCTATAGCCTAGCTACAAAGATCTTGACAGTTTTCTAAAGATATATCGAAATATCCATGTGCA